TAATCCGTCTTTTATACTTTTTACTTTACTGCACCAACTTAGACATCAAATATTGTATCAAATAGAAGGAGCACTCCCAATCTTAGGAGGAACATGTTTAGTCTTTTGTCAAATATACTATACTGCCAGTTGTAAGTTTTTAGTTTGTTTAGTTTTTTCTTTCTAGAAACTTTTTTTTATCAGATTGGGGAAGTTTATATTGCTGAGTTAGATTTTTAAAAATCTTAATTGGGTGTTGAATTTTTTTCAATTTTTTTTTTTTTATACTGTTAGCCAAAGCTAACTATTAATTGGGTACCTCCCTCCCAGCTTCCAACTAAGGGCACAAGCCAAGAGTCAGTACGTAGCTGGTCCAGTCCTGTGATCAGGCTGCACCCAGGAAAAATGCTGTCTTTTTGAAAAAGCAGTGATTTGGAAACTGCTTTCTCAAGACAAATCAAAGAATGTCAAGATTTGCAGATTAGCTAAATTTCCATTTAACAAAAGGCTCTGCAAAGATAGGCTAATCTTAACAACCTCTTTGTCTCAATGCATAGAAAGTATCAGATGGATACATTAACTGGATTCCTATCCAGAATTTGCTTCTGTAGAAATCATTGAGATGTTTCATGTAACCTCCTTGTGAGGACGCCAACTGTATATACTCACAGAGCAGCTTAGAATTCAAATAGCTTTCCCAGAGCTATCTGGAGGCTGTTGCTGGGCTTGAGTCCTCACTCTTCGATAGTTTAATAAACTTAAGTTTGCAGGCCTCAATTTGTTTTAGTTGACAAAACGAGTTGATTGGATCATGCAATTTTTCTTCTTTCTTCTTAACATGATGGATTACATTGGCTGATTTTTAAATGTTGAAGCTGTCTTGCACTTCTGGAATAAACATCACTTTGTCATAGAAACAACCCAAATATTTTTCCACTGTGAATGGATTATATAGACTGTGGTATGTCCTACAAAGAAATACAACTTAGCAATATAAAGGAACAAACAACTGGCAAATGCAAAGATATTGATGGGTCCAAAGGCCAATATGCTGAATGACAGACAGAAGCCAATCTCAAAGAATACTATATTGCATGAGTGTAACTTTTAGGGGAGTAGTGAGAGTTTCTTTGTGATATAAAGTTCTATATTATGATTGTGGTGATGGGAACATGAATCCATACATGCAACATTTCATAAAGAGAACAAGAGGGCAAGTAAAAGTTGTAAAATCCCAACAAAGTTCTTGATAATATTGTCCCAATGTCAATTTCATGGTTTGACAATGTACTGTGGTTAATAATAGGGAGAAGCTGGTACATAAGGACTCTACTGTTCTTGCAACTTCTTGTGAGTTTTGAAACTCATTTAAAATAAAATGCTATTAAAAATATGCAAGTAGGAAATAGAGGGGCCTGAACTCAGGAAAATGAATTAAGAAAGGTTCCGGGCAGATGGAACAAGTACCAAATTTGTGGAGGCAAAACAACTCCATGGAATTTACATGTGGCTAAATTCAGAAATCAAGGGGAAGAATTCAGGGATAGTTTACAAGGAAACTTGAGTCCTGTCTTCCTGATTCTGATACTGTAATCACAACAGACAGGTCTAGGGCAATAAATGGGAAACACCTGAAGAGTTTTAATAAGATGGATAAACTGGCATTAACAGTGATGTTTAGTCACCTTCTAACTACAATGGAGAACAGACTGGGGAGGGTGAGTGGAGAAAAACTAGGAGGAGTAAAGATGCAGAAATCTGAATACTGTTACTGTTATGGTAACAGACTGGGTGGTGATGGCAATAAAAACTAAGAAAATAGACAGATTTGAATTGTCTAACACAGCATAAAAGAACATGGTCATAGAGATTAAAAATATCCATTATATTAGTGACATGAAACTATACTATCAAAGGAAAAATGAGAGGGGGGATGCCATGCTGGAGCAATTTAAAGAATGGGGGGAAAACAGATGAAGACTTTAGATAACTAAAGAATTTTGGCTATTGGGGAGGGCAAGAGACAAATGAGGGAGAGTAATAGGGTAGGAAAGGATCTTTTAAAAAGTGGTATTGAACTGTGCACACTTTAGAGTTAATAGAAGAATCTAACTGAAATGAAAAAGAAGAGATAAGAAAAGAAATAGTGTAAATGTGAAGAAAGAGATGTTGTGAAGTTTGGGGGCAAGATGCTCCGCAGTAGAAGGGAGCATGGCAAATTCATGGAATTGAACTATAACTAAAGTACAAAGAATGAGGGGGACAGTGATGGAAAATGGCTTGGGAAAGTGCAGGACTATTTTCGTCTATTATAAAAGGTAAAGTGGTGAAGTTGAGCATAAGAATGTCTGATACTGGTTAATTTTACATGTTAACTCCTTTTTTCTCTAAGAAATATTAAATGAGCTACATTTGTTTGAAAAGGATTGCTTTAAAAAAGTACACAGAAAACTGGGTATCTTAAACAACAGAAATTTATTTCATCACAGTTATGGAGGCCAGAAGTCCAAGTTCAAGATGTCAGCTGAGTTGATTTCTTCTAAAAATCATTCCTTGGCTTGCAGATGGAATCTTCTCTTTCCATGGGCTTCCCTCCATGTGTCTGTGTGCTTATCTCTTCTTAGAAGGATATTTACCATAACAGACTAGGGCCCATCAATCAATAGGACCTAATTTTACCTTAGTTACCTCTTTAAAATTTCTATCTCTAAGGACAGAGGAGTGGATCAGAAAAATGTAGTGTCTGTATAAAATGGAATATTCCTCAGCTTAAAAAAAAAGGATGAACTTCTGCCATATGCAACAACATGGATGGAACTGGAGAGATTAATGCTGAGGAAAATAAGTCAGCAGGAGAAAGACAAATACAGGATGGTCTCACTTATATATAGAATATAGAGAAACATAACAAGAGGTCAGTCAAAACCAATCCAATAATAAACTCTTAAAATCCGCCTACAAAACTGAGGCAACTGGAGGGGGAAGGTGATGTGGAGGGCATAAAGAGGGAGGGGCCCAATCGAACAAGGTGAAGGATTGCTGGGGCACTGGTGGTGGGCAGGGTGTGGCAATACATTTGTAGAAGTTTGAACTATAAACCCAGGAGCAGATAAACATATAAACCTATTGATATTTTACCTCAATAAATATAATTTGGGGGAAAAAAATTCTATCTCCAAATCAAGTCATATTGTAAAGTACTAAGGGTCAGGACTTTAAGATGTGAACTTGCAGAAGACACAATTCAGCTTGTAACGAGGTTAGTTGCCAAGAGAGAGAAAAGAGAATGCATCAGAGGTTCAGAGTGAAAGAAACCTGAAATAGTTTTTAAAAATATCCATAGTTTGAAACAGTTCTCACATTGATTATAAGTGAACATCCTAAATAGGTAATTAAAAGTGAATATAATTAAAAATGAAATTCTGACATTATTTCATTTGAAAATTGTTTTACAAGTCAGATTAACCTGAATTTTGATTCCTGATTTGCAAATGTCCCTTATATATATCTGCTCTCATTTTCGTCACTCAAAAATGGGAACATTCACAGAATACACATATGCCTCAGAAGTGTACCAGAATGAGCACTGACATGTGAAATTGATGTCCTGGTCCGACTCCCTGCTCTGTCACTGAAGAGTTTACTTTCTTAGAACTTCTATTCCTCATCTTAAAATGTGAGTACAAGTTCGTAAGAAAGAAATGGAAGAAAGAGCAGCTATATAGGCCATTGTCTGCCACAATAGGATTATCAGTATATTTCAACTGACATTTATACATCAGACGAACAACATACTTAAATAAAAAATTCTTGGTAAGACGGTATTAAAATTAGAAAAAAAACAAAGGGAAACTAAGAAGACAGAGTTACAGGAGACACTAAGTTACACAATACAATCGCTAAAGTAAACATTATTGTAATGATCAATGGGAGAAGGTTAGAGGAAAGAAAGGTAGTGGAATAATATGTGCACACTACATTTTCTTTATAGCAAACAAATCTGAAATGGCTGATTATGCAGAAAATGCAACTGCTAAGAATTATGTCTTATGGGAACATACTCATATCAACTTATTACTCATGTCAGAACAAAATGAAAAAGACTGTAACATGAAAGAATTAGACTAGTTATGGAGAATAATTAACAGAATTATTCAAAGGCTAAAAAGCTAATGGTTTCTTCCTAAAAATGCCCATGATTCACATTTGTCCCATTCTAGTAATGACAAGTGCACATGAGTTTCTATAGAATGTGGAAATACTTACACACATATACATATAATTGTACATATACAGAGTATGAAATATGCAATTTGTATATATTAAATTACAAACCAATACTAACAAAAATATTTGCCCTGAATTGCCTATTTTTAAAATTGATTTCTGTCTGAATAGTTTTAACTCTTAACTTCTATTTTATTAACACACACAAAATATTATTCAAGGTAGTATAATGGCCATTTACTATAAAAAGAGAAAAAGGAAGAAATTTAAATATTAAGTAATGAGATATGAGTTAAAAAATTTTGCTACTAAGATTAGATTTTATTTTTCCCTAAAATAACTCAGCCACTGAAACACTTTAATCTCTATTCTGTGATCTCTAAATATTCTACATAGTGTACAGTTAAAGATTCAATAAATAAAACTTTCATAGAGGCTAAATTTGCTATTGCATACATGAACCTTAAAGCATTTTACAGGGAAAAATCTGTTATGTCCTATAGCAAAAAAAAAAATGAAAAGATACTTCTAAACTGTCAAGAATGACAAATTTTAAGCAAGATTTATCAGAATAACATTGTTGCACATAAAAAGTCCACCTGAATGAAGAACAAAAATCAACCTGACACTGTAAACAGTCAAAATAACTTGCCAGCATTTTGCTTTCTATTATTTATGTATTCTATTAATTGTGTATGCTATGTATTTCCTATCACAAATCAAATAAAATAGGAATTGCGTTCTAAAGCAATATACTCATTATTTGAGTATAACAAAGAATATAACTTAATATACAAGTTTAATAAATCATCATGGTTTATTTAACAAGGTTAATTCTACATCAGATTGCGGTTTAAAAGCAGTTATATATGTGTGATATGAAGAGAATTACGTACAAACAGTAAGAGGCTTCTTAAACCTTTCTTCCACAGATTTTCCCCACTTTACTGCTTATTGGTAAAAAAGCATTTTAGGTTTATATAAACACATTTATTACAACTGCCTTCTTAACAGAAAATTAGTATATAAATAGCTGGGCATTTAGTAAATAAGTCAAAGGCCAATTAAGTTCAAGTTCACAGCTCAGAAAGAGTTTATGAAACCTTAAGACTGGGTGATCTGCAGTGTTTCCAACATGTCTTCAACTGCCTTAAGAGAGTACTTAGATTCCTTCTTACTCCCACCTGCAAACTAATTTTTAAAAAATCCAGTTAGGCTCAATTTCAGTGACACGTTCAAAAATCACAATTTTACACCCTTCACATTGCTTAATGAGACTTAATACAATATATGTATTTTATCACTTGCATGAAATCAAATGTGTTCTTTTTCTTCAGGAACAAAATTTGGGTTTTAAGAACATTTTCATTAAGATTTCATCTTCAGTTGACAAGTACAAAGATTTCACAGCATAACTGGTCAGTTTAAAATATTTAAATGGTATGATATCATCTAAAAAACATACTTATTTTAAAAACCACCCTCTTCATACCAGAAAACTATATGAAATTAAAAATAGAATTTATAAAAGAAATTCAGTTTATATTTATATAGGAATGTGAACCATTTCATCTGGCATCTAAAAAACTTGACAATCTCAAACAAAGATAAACTAAAATGTACTTTTTTATTAAATGTTTTAAAATTGCAGGCTATCTCTAAAATTAGTGAGTTATAATTTTGCAAAATTTTTAGATTTATTATTTAACCAGATAATGTTTCTGCAGTAAAGAGCTGTCAAAAAGTATGTTACATATTAAAATGAGGTAAGGTAAACATGTTTTAAAATATGCATTTCTAATATTTAGTAATTTACTCCATAAAAACAAATATTCACTAGGGTGTTATCAGTGATAACAAAATATAATGCATTAAATACTATCTTTGTATATTTAAAGACAAACTCACAGCATATTAAACACAATATACTACATGTTGTTAGTGAGGGAAACACTGTTGAAGACCCCAAGATTTCAAAATGAGTTTTCTACCTTGACTGACAATTTTTTTTCCCATTTATCAGTTTTATTTAACACCACAGACTTACTTGATATCTAGGCAAACATTCCTTGTGGAGGTAGTGCAAGGGTTATTTTATCTCCATTACCCATTTTTCCCCTGCATGAAGTATTGATCAACATTTGCTATGAGCAAAATATAGTACTTTCAAGTTAACATCTAAGCCCTCAATACACTGTCCTGTGACTGATCTTTCCTTCAAACACCAATGCTATCTTAAGTACTTAGTGCTTGATTTATGATGTGTTCTTTCTCTTTTGTAATTAACTTAATTTGGAAAACTTCTGGTGACCTGTTGAGAAAGATTAAGAGATCAAGCACAGGTAACATCATAGAAGCAATAGGCTTCAAGAATTGCTAACCTGCCTCTGACCTCTCTGGAGGAAGATTAACATTATGAGTCCCCTACTTCCTAAACTATTAGGTTCTGTGGTTCAATACTGATTTGATAGAGTAAATAAAGGGGATTTCTAAAGGGAAAGAAAAACTTCTAATAAGAATCTAAATCACTTCGGCTTTAATAGGTCATTACTAATATAAGAAGTCAAATATTAAATATACAAGTCATAATGGCCAAACCTGTAACAGCAACACCATATTTAAAACTGCCTTTTCACAATTTCTGTGGTGAGTATAGGATGTGAGGAGTTCTTATTGCTCCTACTGTTCAGTTGATAGTTTCACATATACTGCCTATTCCAAAGTAAACAGGAATGTTCCTAATCAGATACTTATAGGTGCAACTCTAAGAAAAAGCTTTGATGGATTGGGGGAGGGAGTACAAAATAGGACACTTCATAGTAACACTTACTCTAATTTTTAAATATCAAAAAAGAGAAATTTCTGTAGAGTTGAATTCATAGTATGCATTTTAAAATACAGCACTTTCCTTGGTATGTGCTGAGACATAATAGAAATAGTAAATATATATTGTGATTTTAACAACTAATTAAAAAAAAAATCACCAAGATTTTGTCAGCACTACTGACAATCAGTGCAATTTAGAATAAACCAAACAAACTTATTCATGTCAGAACAAATAAAAGGAAAGCAGGAAATATATATCTATCACTTCAAATTCTGCCTGACATGCAATTATTTTGTCTATTCTAGAATTATATGGCAATTTAACTGACTGAGCTGGAATCCTATTTTCCCCTCAAATCATGATTTAATTTTCTATTTCCCACAAGGAGAGTAACAGAATCATCTTCGCAATCATATATAACATATGGATCACTAGCACATATGAATTTGACAGTACACCAAAGAAGCACTTATCTCGAAAATTATTGTGAGTAGGTTCATATTAAAGTTTTTCATGAGCATTAATCAAACTTGCCTGCCTCTACTGAACATGCTAAACCAATTATTTAATTGAATTGCAAGGAGCAGCCATATCTTGTTTCATTATTAAGTAGAAAAAAAGAAAAGCAGTTCTTAAAATTTCATTTTCTCTAATTTATAAATATCTAGAAAAACATTACAATGAAGAATAATTATATTTTATACTGTGTATATGACTAGACATGAGCCATGAAGTTCCCAATTAATTCTGAGAGATTTATCAAATTACTAAAATGTCAATCTCTGAAAGTTAGATCTTCCACATTAATCACAAATTCTGCAGTTTTCTTTTCATACAGTTAAAATTTTACTTAAACTTTTCTTTATAATTCCCAGTAGGAGCTTAAAGAAAACTCAGTAATAAGAATACTCAAATAATAAAAAATTGCTAAACAAATTCAAGTATCAGTGATTTATCCAATGTGACAAATGGAAGAAGTTAGGCTAAAATCTGCTTTTTTAATTTGTGGAATATAGTATCAGTAGACAAAATAAATGAATACAATGGAATGGTGGATAGCTGAATCTTAGAAAGATACTAAATGAAAAAAGCCAGCACAAAAGAGAACATATGATCTTATTTACACAAAGTTCTTCTACAGGGAAAACTAATTGATTGAGATAAAAACCAATTTGTAGTGTGGAGTGTGGCTGACTACAAAGTAGCAGAAGGGAACTTTCTGGGATGATAGAAAAACTGTATCTTGAATGAGGTGGTGGTGAGAAAAAAGTAAACATTTGTCAAAACTCAAAAAGTACACTTAAAATGTGTACACATTTTTGTATGCAAATTATACATCAATAATCAGATAAAGGCACAATAAACAAAAAGAGAAGTATATGAATTAAGGAGGTATGCAATAGTATAATAAACTCCAAATGACCACATATTTCTCCTCCCACTGAAAGGTAAAGTACTGCATCCCCTGAATCTGGGTTTACCAAGTGACTTGCTGTGCTCAATGATGTATTTGCAACAGATGATACAACCAGACTTGTGCATTAGAGTTTGTTTCTGCTCTTGAAACTCTGAGACAAATACATGAATTAAGTACAAGTTAGCCTGCCAAATGAGAAAAGCAAGCCCTGTACCTTCAGCTGATAGTCAACCATCAAAAATTTAAGTAAGATGATCAAACACTAGCATGTCAGAAATTTTAATGAGCCCAGCTGAGATTTAGCAGAATTACTCAACTGAGCCCAAGTCTAATGGCCTACCTATAGAATCATAAGCAAATAAATAACTATGATAAACCATTAAGTGAACAAAAGGTAATGGACACAAATATTTATGGAAATTGACTCACAGAAAGAGAATCCAGACCCTACATAGAAAAAGCACTGAATACAAAATCTTCAAAAGCACCAAGAAATTTTTTTTTTAAAGATTTATTTATTTATTTATTTATTTATTTATTTATACAAGCACTGGGTACAGTCTGAAGCACGGGAGGGTGAGAGAATTCACCAGAGCCAGAGCAGGGAGCAGAGCAGGCAGAAGGACAGAAGTACACTGCTGAGGGGAGCAGCGGGCGGCAGGAGAGGTCTGCGCGCCATGTGGGACCCTCCTCCAGTGGCCGGGGAGCAGCTGGGGATCGAACCGGCGCTGCAGAGGCTGCGGGCAGCTTTGCAACCCAGCGCTCAACCACTGCGCCACCGGGGAGGCCCATCACCAAGAAATTTTTATTTAAAATTTGTTACTGGTGTTTAGAGGCAAAAATAAATTTTGTTTTATGTGATTCTCAGTTGAAAAGTACTGAATGTGACATAGGCAACTGAAAGATGTATTATTTTTCTAGAGTGGTCTCCAAGATGATAGAAACTGACAAAAATTCCATAACTATCCTTTCCTATAGAATCAAGAAAAGGGAAAAATCACATCCTCAGTAATGATGTGCAAAACATCTTTGGGGACTCGGAAGTTTATGGTACAAAACTCAAAAGACTGAGAGCACAAGTGATACCCTCAGAGCTCTTTCCAAAGAACACTGACTTTATAAAATAAGTCTGCTCCCTGAAAGAAAAATCCTGACACTTTGAAGAAAAAATAGTACTGGAAACTAAATCAAATTGGACAGGGCAGAAACACTGAAGGTAAGAGGGAGAGAAGGCTCAGATTAAGGGAGGATTGTGGGTTTGAATAAGGTAGTGATGTCCAAAGGCAGCAGATCCCATAAAAAGAAGGGAATGGGATATGAGAAAGAGAAAGAAGAGAAGAAAAACCCTGCTACATCTAAAGCTGAGAGCAACACCTAAAATTCAAGATCTACAGAGCTCTATCAGTAGGACAGAGAGATGGAAGCATAACACCTTTCTGAATCAAATCCAGTAGTGAGAAAGATTAAATACATAGAGGTAACACAGTTCTCTGTAACAGAGAAAAAAACAAATAAACAAACTGAGAAAGTTACCCTTCCAATCTCCAACACCCTCTATTCTATAAAAGGCCCCTCCTAGTAGCCTCATTTAAACATGGAGAACAATCTCATTTAAAAATGGAGAACATGTTCTACTTCTTAGAACAGACTAAGTAACTCTACAAAACATTGTTATGGAGAAAAAAGAAGAAAATAAAATGCAGAAAATGACAAAAAAGGGTTTGGAAGAAAAATGAATGATATAGAAGGTGGGAAAGAAGATCCAGTTAACTTATGATTGGAATCTTTAAAGTGAAAACTTATGCATTCAAAAAAAAAAGTTTAAAACTTTTCTCAAAAGAGGACTAAGTTCACCTATCGAAAGTCAATTTGTATATTTTGGAAAACTGACCCAAAAATAAAAACAAAAACATATAGTAAAACTACTGATTTAATTAAAAGATAAATGATTCCTTTGGGCAACCAGACAAAATGTCTATGTCACTTTTTACTGAAAGAAAATCAGGATGGCATCAAGACTTCTTGGCAGCAATATTTTATCCTAAAAACATTGGAACACTATGCTTAAGATACATAGGTAAATGTAAGCCAAATATTGTATAAAAAGCCAAATTAGGGCTTCCCTGGTGGCGCAGCAGTTGAGTGCTGGGTTGCGAAGCTGCCCACAGGCGCTACAGTGCCAGTTCAATCCGGGGCTGCCAGGCGAGGGTCCCACATGGCGCGCAGATCTCTCCTGCCGCCCACTGCTCCCCTCAGCAGTGTACTTAATTAGTCATTCTGCCTGTTCTACTCTCTGCTCTGGCTCTGGTGAATTCTCTCACCTTCCCGTGCCTCTGACTGTACCCAGAGCTTGAATAAATAAATAAATAAATCTTTAAAAAAAAAAAAAGCCAAATTACCCTTCAAATATAAAGGTTATACATAGGTAAGTTATAAAGATGCAAGACATAAGAAGGAATATTTTTCCAGGAGCTCTTCCTGAAGACTGTCCTAGGGATGAGCTTCAGAAAACTAACACATAAGTGAGTGGGGGAAGTTTCAGAAATGCTATGATGTGTAAACAGAATAAAAAAATGTTGTTCTACAGTCTGGTTAGTTTGCTTACAGCATTTTTTCTTCCACCTTTTTTATTATTTAAGATACCTATGATTGAGAATACACTCGAATACCCACTCTCCTTCTCAAATGCATCATGCAATTTGCTTATCTTCCTGGAATTTTAAAATAACTGCTTTCTAATTTTAAAATTAAAATTTTAATTTTAAATATTTTAAAATATTCAACTATTTCTGTCAAATACAGATGTACTGAGATTTCCAGATGGTAAGGCTAATTATGGGATTGTAATAGTTACAGACTCCTTTTGGTGGGGAGGGGGGAATGTGATCTTAAAATTGTAAGTTAAAGCTATACAATTAAAACACATTCAGTAAGTGTTTTATGCCCAAAACAGATAAAAGGGATCCAGAAGTCCAATGAGAGACATCTAGTTTAGAAACAAAACAACTAAAGAAGATATTAGCTGACCCATATGATAACATAAAATTATCAGTACTAACCTGATAAGCTCTGTTTATTTGACTAGCTGCCCAACTAGCATATTTCATGTTGTCCTTTTTCGTTTTTGCGCTTGCTTTCGGATTAGAAGCAATATGACTTGCTGCCTAAAAATAAAAAAGAAACATCAAGAACAAAATTCCCTCTTTTCTAGCCAAGATAATCTAATACATATAAGGGTCAGAGTTACAATGGGACAACATTTGTAGTGGTTCCTCTTCTGTCAATGAGAAATTTATATCCCAAAACTGATTTTTACATCTGTGTTTTTAAAGTCTGCCACCTTCTTGATATGAATTTCAGAAAATATAATTAATAGAATTACCCAGGAGTTAACTGGCTGTGCTAGTAATCCCAACTCAATCACCCTGCAGCTCTGTGTACATCCTTGGACAAATTAATTAAATCTCCCTTAATTTCACCCACTATAAAATTGTAATAAAAATAGTACCTTCTCCATAGTTTATATAAGAATTTAATGACTGGGGGCCTCCCCTGGTGTCACAGTGGTTGAATGCTGGGCTGCAAGGCTGCCCGCAGCCTCTGCAGCGCCGGTTCGTTCCCCGGCCACTGGTGAGGGTCCCACCAAAAAAAAAAAAAAGTATTTAATGATTGGGCCTCCCTTGGTGGTGCAGGCGGTTGAGCGCCACGCTATGAGGCTGTCTGCAGCCTCTGCAGCAGTGCCAGTTCAATCCCGGCCCCTGCCAGCCAGCAAGGGTCCCACATGGCACGGCAGACCTCTCCTGCCTCGCCTGCTGCTCCCCTCAGCAGTGTATTTCGTCAGTCTGCCTGTTCTGTTCCCCACTGTCTCTGGTGAATCCTGTCACCCTCCCACGCATCTGGCCTGTACCCCGGTTCTTGTATAAAATAAATAAATAAATATTTTTTAAAAAAAGAATTGAATGATTTAAAATAGAGCTCAAAGTTCAAGCTATGTCTGGCACATTAAGTGTTTTATGTATAAACCATTATTAATTGTTGTTAATTTTTAAGTTAGCTTTTATTCTATTGGTAAAGAGAAATGCTATGATACTGTATGTCAAAGCTACTAAATTTGGCACTGGTAAAATACAGGAAAAACTTTCTTGAAATGTTTTGAACTGCTTTCTAATTATATTTTGCCCTTCTTTTCCTGAAAATGATCTCATTTATATTTCTTCCTGTACGCATTTCTGCACTCAATCCTTTGTCATTGACATTCACCCTAAAGTCCAGAAAGACTAGGACAATTAAAATGTAAAGAACTGGTCTATTAAAATTTATTTTTCCCAGCCACACTGATTGTAGAGAGGGGATCATTTTATATATATTTTAAAGTTCACCAAGTTCTTCCTTGTTCCCACAACTCTTGTTATTTGACTTTTCCTAAGCTCACCATTTGGCATACATAAAGAAAAGAAATATTTAATTATGCTTCCCACAATTTCCAAATTGTTTTCCTATCCAATAAAAAAAGGTCTTACTTTGACATATTAGACATTTTATATTTATTGGTATAGTTTAAAAATAGCTTACACAATTATAAGTTAAGGTAAAAATACATAATGTTAGACATAAACTTAAGAAAATCAAAATAATTAAGAAACATAGTATGATTTTTATGTTACTATTTAATTTTAAAGGTAGAGAACAATAATGATACAATAAATTTAATAATAAATATCATAGAGCTAGCATATAATAACAAAGATAAAACGTATTGCCTTATAACCTATTGCTCATAATCAACCAGAGGGCAAAAACATATGCTTATCCATGAAATACAAAATTTATGAGGAAAGTGAGAGGAGAGGATAGCTAATGGATTTTAAATGACAGACTTCATAAAATAACATTAAACATGCACCTCAACTCACCATGTAAAGCCCAAACAAAGCTCTCATATTTCTGTTGTTCAATTTCAATGCCTGTGCAAAATATTTTCTTGAAAGTTCGAGGTTTTCAAGTCCACCTTGGGTATATTTAACCTGTTAAAAATTGCAGAGTGCTGAAACCTGTTTATTTTACTACTTTGAAATATAGCATGTTTCATACCATAAGCATTAGTAATTGAAACAGATACTCTGTAAACAAGTGCAAGATGTTAAAAGAATTCATCTTACAGTTGTTAAAGCTAAACCAAATTTTAAAACATAACCTCCTTCCCCAAAACTGTTCTATTCTATGAACATTAAGGCCACTGAGTAATTTTTAAAATAAAAATACTGCCAAAATAAAAAAGCCAGTAAAATTTCTACTTCAGATGCCTTGCAAATGCTTCACATTATATTTTCTGTTACCAGCATTACAAATCTAGACTACATTCTATAAACAAGTGTAAAATGTTAAAAGGATTCATCTTAAATTTGTTAAAGCTAAACTAAATTTTAAAACATAACCTTCTCCCCAAAACAGTTCTATTCTATAAACATTAAGGCCACTGAGTAGTTTTTAAAATAAAAATGCTGCCAAAATAAAAACCTACTATTATTTCTATTTCAACTGCCTTGGAATGCTTTACAACAATACATTTTCTTTTACTACCATTATAAATTGACTCAAATACTGAATTTTTCTTTTCTAGAGCACTGAAATTCCTTAATAATGAAGTCCTTCTAAACTTATAGCATTCAATTTTATGCCTATTTTAATACCAAGCTAATGATATAAATACTTCCTACTTTTTAAAATATTGAACTTAACATGAATTTCCCAGAATGTATGTTTAAATATTATAATCATTGTACATGTCTCAGAAGCCAATAAAAGATAGCAACTTTGTTGTAATTAATTCATAATTAGTAAAGAGAACAGTATAAAAATATTAAAATATTTTCACTGTTTTAGTTTTCAATAGAAAAGTTACCATTTCCATTAAAATATTAAAAATTCAGAACTTTTACTCCCACAACTTTCATCAGATGTTTTAAATATATATATATATATATATATATATATATATATATATATGTGTGTGTGTGTCTAACATTGAGGACATATTCTTATTTCATAATAATGCCCACAACCAACAAAAATAAAATAAAAGTACATAGAACTGTTTTTAAAAACACTTACTTCAGCATATTGCTGACAGTATAAGTGGTTGTGTGGATTTGTCATCATAAGCTCCTCTAAACAAAAGGCTGCTTTAGCATAGCTGAAAAATATCAAGAACGGAAATTAATTTTAGAAATAAAATTTTATCCTAGTTATGCCTTTAAACAATTCGAAAATAATTTTACTGATGTTAGATATTTTATCCCCCAAATAATTTCAATTATTTTATTAATAAACTATTTTTATCTTGATTTTATAAATAGCAATATTAAATTTTCTAATGAATTGAATAAACAAACAGGTTTACATCATAAAACAGCTTATGAATGATAACTACGTGTGTGAAAATCGGTCGCTAGTATGACACCCAAACATTATTAACAACATGAGCTTCAAGACCTTGGAACATTATATATGAAGTAACTTCTGTAAGTCCACTGATCACTTGATAAAATACTCAAATAGTTAAAGTGTGAGGTGCAAATTAAGATTTTATTAAATATTCTCTACTCACTAGAACCCCTTTGCAGATACACTTACCAACATATTCTACTACAAAAAAGTTGCATTAGTTCAGTTTACTGTCAAATGCAAAATTAAAATGAAGTAATAAATTTCAAAACCCATGAAAACTAGATAAAGTTAGTAATTTTGATATGCATTATATTAATCAATCATATGGTAGAGAAATAAAATCTTACTGAAAACCAAAGGAGAGAACTGCTGTACAGGGTTCTGGAAAAATGTTTTTAAACCATGTGACTACAATTCGCCTTTAAGTATTTTATATTTTAAGTCATGAAAATATCCTCACTACAGGAAATCCCAAAGAACATAGGTGTTGTAAGATTTACTCCTTGTTAGAAGGTAATGACGGTACTTAATAGAAAAAGGCTACCTACAGTTTTTCTTGGCATGTATCACCAAAATACAAAGGAACCTATGTTTATACTAATGTCTGACATACTTACTTTTTAAGTATTGCAGTTTCACATATGTACTAATAATAGCAACCTTTTATTACATGCTTAGTATATGTACCATGCACTTTCCTAGCGTATTAACTCATTTAATCCTACCAAAACCATAGGAAATAGGAAATTATCACCATTCTATAGTTGGGAACACTAAGGTACAGAGATGTAAACAAGAACCCAAAGAGCCAATGCTCTTAACCACTGTGCATACTGCACATATGAAATACACCCCACACTGAAAAACTTTGGTGGTAATGACAGTGGTGAAGAAGTCAATGGTAACATATAAATGGATACGACAATCAAATCCAAAGAGCCTGAGGAACAAAATACACCCTGCAGATTACCCCCAAATCACAATAATTTAAACTTATGGAAAACATTATATATAGATTCTCATAGAAGATCATGCAGCTATTTAGTCTTTTTCATTTTGATATCTAAACCCTGTCTTTGGTTTTCAACAGATGCTAGATATGTAAGTGACTAAACAAATGAATAACCAAATGATTAAATAAATGTCTAGAACAAAAGTATTACTACCACCTATTTAGTATTTATAGTTATATTTGAGATGGGGAAGAATATGTTCTCTATCTTAAACATCCAACTTCACCAAAGGACAGTTCTCATCTAAATGTGTTCCTTTTACCAGGATTGCATCAAAAATTCATACTGATGCTATGAATAACAGCTCTCAGAGATTTAAATGTAATAACTCACTCGGGTTATTACACAGCATTAAGATAAGCAGGGAGGTGTGTCTATTGAAAAATAAGTGCCAATATATTTTTTACAAAAATTATTTGGCTTCACAAACATGAAAGGAATTCTTTCCTTTATCCTTACAAACTATAAATTTAAATTAATTTTGTGGATAAAGTATAAACTTAGAGCTGGATGCAGCAAGCAATGTAGTCTAGTCCAGTTTTTCCTCAGCTAGGGGTTGCCCAATGTTAAGCCCTATGGAATGTAGTGTGAACGACTATTTTCTCAATTCTCTCAAGGATGGTACATAGCTGATACCATTTCAAACATATAAAGAAGTCAGTTCATTATGTACAATAACTTCATGAGACTAAGATTAAAGAAGTTAAAATAATGGAATCTATTTAAAATAGAATAACCATTATGCTAGCATTAATAATTAAAGTTTTTTGTTTCTCACAAAAGCAAATGTATCTATCTGTCTGTCAATTTTTACAGTACTTGTCCCTACACTGCTTTATTATTTTCTTTGTAAGATTCTGACCTATAAAAAGGTATATAATCACAACTATATTTTATACTACTAGCTGTTCCTTGCTGAAATAACATCCAGATTTATCTACAAATCAATTAAAAAAAATAAAATGTTTAAAAATGCAAACTTTTTGTTATAATATATTGGTAATGCAAAAAATTATAACTAATTGTTAATATTTAGAACAAATTAGTGTTTCAATATGACGAATTGGTGTGATGTTCAGTTTGGAATAATGAAAGACAAATTAGAATTTACACATCAAAAACAAACTTAAAGGCTACTTAAAGTATAAAGTACATGGCCTAGTTCTAAATTCCCTTTTCTTTCTATGAAAGCACTATGTAGGTTCATATAAACACAATACTATGGAAATTTACGTGGAATAAAAAATCCTAACTTTAGAATAGCAATGCTGCCTGAGACCTATTATATTTAAAATAGCTTATGAGAGTATCTAAATGATAAGTATCTAGTAATCCCTAATGGCTACATTTTGCCACTGTGATCACATGATTAGTAATAAACAAATATCACTTAATTTACAACTTTTACGTACTATAACAAGTCAAATTAAATGAACACATTTTGATTTCCATATAATTTCAAAAAATCTGGATATATTTATTTCTACTCTCCCTAAGTCTAAATATTCCTAAGTCTTCAAGTAGAAAGAATAAAGGGTTATTTTATAAAATAGTTTTAAGGTCAAAATAAGTTTTGTGCTTAAAGACAAAAAGGTTGGCTGAACACAATTACCATTTCCCCTGAACACCTAAAAATAAAATGCTTCTACAAGTTAAAAATATCAATATTCAAACAATACATATTAAGCAAAGACAATGGTTCATGTCATTTAAAGAGCTCTTAAAAGACTAAAAATAAATAAATAAGTACAGCCAATTTTCACCTATCAAAATTTGCAAAGATTAAGGGGATGATACCACTCAATGTTGTTAAGGGGGCACTAATAATTGCTGGTTGGAGAGTAAACTGCTATTATCTTTCTAGTGAATAAACAGGAGCAATTTATCAGTCACTGATAATGCACATATCATTTAATCAAGTAATCCTACCTCTATGTATTTAGCCCAAGGAAACAGTTAAAATAAAGATAATCAGTACAGCATTATAGGGAGAATGAAAAACCACCTTTGTATCCCCCTAGAAAATTGACTGATAATAGCAGTATACATTAAAAAGATGGGATAATATAAAGAAAGCCATTAAATGACATTGTGGAATGTTTACTGTAAAGGAAAATTTTGACAATACAAATTAATGAAAAATATAGCTGTAAAAGATAATTCTATTTTAGGTTTCTGCTTGCTTCAAAAGATACTGAAGAATAAAAATCAAATTCAAACTGCAATTAACTTAGGATGATGCAAATACACAGCATTTTTGTCCCATCGTTAGTATTTATTGTTTTTTCCAAATTATGTGCATTAGTTCTTATTTTAATTGAAAGTAATTTCCCTTAATGATTTGAATAGTTTTAAATATTTATAATCACAATATCATCAAATAGCACAAAAAATTAAATGATTGCTATATATTTTAGGGATAAAATAAAACTAATTTTTTTTTACTATACTCTGAAAATTCAGTTTCATGTTTTTTTAAAATATATACTGTATACTTTATGAATGTTAATTTTAGGCACATGAAAAACAGAAATACTACACTTAAAATAAATACACTGCACTCTCATATACTTAAGAGAATCCCAAGTATGTTTTCATATGTGACAATACAAGCACATATATATCTAAACTGAACATGAGTCAGGGAATAATTTCCTGACAGAAAACAAAACCTGATAGTGAGAGTATAGTAGAAAACTGAAATACGGGACACAATCATTAAATGATGGCTATTAGTTTTATTTTACATCTTACTTTTATTAAAATTATATAGATAATTACCTTAATTTTCCACTCCATATATATATCATATATATATATGGATATATATATATATCCACTCCATATATACACATACACACACACACATCTTGCCTTGGGCAAAGGCAAGAGGAAAGTATCTACATTCTATTTTATTTCCTGTGTCAGCTATCTGTAGCATGAGAATGAGGTTAGCTATTCATGCACAGTAAGAATACGTGCTTGAGAATCCAATTCTATTCTCTTATAAAAAGGAAAGAAACAATGTGATATACTTCAGACAAGGAAGAACTAAGGAAAAAAAGAAAAAACGCTATCTCTAGATGGAGGTTAGCATTAATGCTGTGATATTAGAAAACCTGCACTAAGACTGGGCTAATCCTCTCACAACTGGGATTTCCTCCTGTCACTGCAGCAATAAAAAAGCTAACAAAAACATTAAATATCCAATAAGCAAGTTCCTACAGCATTCAACATTCTTGATTATTCTCGGTTTTTTACCCAGGCAACAGAATGCTTCTACTTTGGTAGAGCTGATTCTCTTAGTATTAAGTCTAATAAATGCATACAATTGACAGAATTTTTAAACAGCAGGGAGTATAATACTCTTTGTATAAAAGAACAATTTAAATTCTAAAAATTCACAATTTTGATTCACAAAAATAACCTTAGTTAAGCAAATGTTAATTCCCAAGAATTTTATCCGTATTTTAAAAAAACTTATTTTACAAACAAAAATAAAACAAATTACCAGTTAAAGCAATTCACATTGTAAGCAACATATTGGTGATTTGTTATTTTTCCTTTATTTTGTTCATTCAAAATTATACATGATTTATAACTTCTTACCAATCTTTCAGAAGCCATTATGACTTCTGAACTTATATAGTGATGTATATTACATGCCTAACAAAATTTTATATGTTTTAACAACTCACTCATGTTCATTGATATAAAGTTCCGCAAGTTCATGCCAGGCTTCTTGGTCTCCAACAAATCTGGTAAGAGGAAAGGGGAAAAACTGTAAGTGTGTAGATATTCTGTAAATGAACAGCATGGAGGAAAAATGGAAAATCAAATGCAAATTCCATTTTAATTAAAAAAGATTTATCAGAATAACAAAACACAATCCTCTTGTAAGACACTCACTGTTCCAGATACTCATTCAGTTCCCGAATGGCCTCCACATTTTTCCCCTGGGCTTTTCGAATGGCAATCTTACGCTTTCTTGCAGCCTATGGGTTGACATTAATAAAGGATTAGGCCCTCAAGATTCCCTGGGTTTTTGTAAAGAAGGTAATTTGACTGTGCAAATTATTATCTCAATGCCAGTGAAATTCCATTGTAGAACTACTGCTTAGTGGGAGTTTATAAACATACCCCATGATATCCCACTGGGGAATTCAAACATTCCTCTAACAATCACATATGCTTTACTTTTGATGCACACAATGCATGCATCATTTCATTCAAATAAATAACCATCCAGATTCTGATAATTACAAGTCAGCAGGGTATCCTAATCTTTATTCAGCCTAAAGTCCTTTACTCTGTCTCATTCATAAGATCTGTATCTTAAGAGATAAGAGGGATAGTGGAGATTAGAGGGGAAAAAAAAAAATCTCACAATGGTCACTTGAATGTGATTATACAAATATTGCTTCTGATAACTTTTTTCCAAATTATAAGAGAAAAATCTACCTATGAGTCTTTGAAGAGAATAAAATTGGCCCTGAAAGAAAATTTTATAATAGAGAAAACATTGAAAATGTGCATTTTCAAGTTTTTTAAAAGATAAATATAAAAACCAATGCCATTTACACATTCATCAAAAATACACTGAATAGCTATTGATTGCCAGGTAGTGTACTAGATAAGAAATATGTAAGAATGAAAAAAGGAATAAATAATTCCTTGCAAGAGTTCAGTCTCATGAGAGAAAGACATAGCAAATAAAAAGACAATGATAGAGATATCTTGGTTGTTATGTCACAAGAAGATCCTCACTGAGGATTTGGCACAGTGGAAAAGGTGGAAGGAGAGGAAGCTAAGAGGGTCCCCAATGTGATACCTCTACTGAAATAAAGGACAAGTAGATATTAAGAAAGCAAATGAGAAAGTTGCATAGAGGACAATGCATAGCAGGACTGTGTAATAAAGACTATACCTTTGAGAATGGACTAAACAGCAAGGAAGTGTAGAATACTGTGAATAATTAAATTTATATTCTCTCCACTATGCTTAGTTCAAAGCAGAAGACTAAACAATGAAACACACTGTAACTAGGGTCATTGTCACTTTTAGACAATGCAAATAATCACAGCATAAAAGCTTATATTACAACTCTGAATGAGGATAAAACTGGACTTCAGTTTTATCTACTCTTTTTATAGTTTTATCTATTGTTAACAACTGTTACTTCTACACAGTAACTAAACTATTTAATATAAACCAAGTCTTTCTCTTTTAAACTTTTTAAGTTCTAGGTCTTACTTGGCTTTGTTTTCTCCCTCAAAGTCCAAGATATGTACTCAATAAACACAGAAGGATAGGAGGGAGTGAGATAGTAAAGATTTAGTCAAACTTCGTTTTAAAATATTTGTATAACAACTAAGGGATGTACTTACTTCCAACTCCTACACAGTATATGAGGGGAATCATTTGGATTTCACCTTTAGTCAGTCACAAAGTTATAAAACATGTAAAATAGTAGAAAGACAGAATAATATTTAATTATATATTATCTCAGATGCTAAAGAAGGGAATTTATTACAAATATCTGCAACTTAGGATGGAAAATGTTTTGACTCCTAATTGAAAGGAAATAGTTTTTTTTTTAATTTGGTGTTAGAAAAATATATATGAAATTCATACCTCTTTTAGAAACCTGATGTCATTTTATTTTAATATATGGCTAGAAAAATTAGTATTTGTGAAAATGTAGTGAAGTTTTACAATTGAAATAGTAACATGAAAAAATCTTCAAGAAGAGAAAAACAGTGCATTTTTATAAACAGTTGCTTTATTAGGACATTTGGGGAGTTAGTAGGATAGTTAAATTTTAAAAATTACTTCAAGGTTTCCAATTAGCTTTATAGGAGATAGCTAGATAAGCTAATAGAGTGTTTTGTTTTATTTTAATAACAGGTAGGCTTGTAGCTATCAGAACTTTTCCCTAAACTTTCTATACACTGAGAATGAACACAAAATAATAAATCCTGTCATTTAAATATTTACCAAAATAAACAGCACAAAAGTAAAAACCAACCTACAAAATTTGCACAGAAAATTTCCATAGGGTAAGATATTGAAAGCCAAAAACTAAACAATTTCACAACACACAAATACACGAAATTACCACAGGGTATAAAGTTAAACTTACATAATGTTACTTTTCAGTAAATTTCAAATAGGTTGAAAAAAAAAACCTATCATTTAAGTCACATATATATTTCTACAGAGATCAGGGGTTTATGACCAGTAAGTGCCTGGGATAAATGCTATCTAGAAATAACGCACTTCAATAATAAATAATTTCTCAACTTATTATTATAGCATAATTTATTTAAAATTATTCTAGTTATTTATGTTCAAGTATTTCTGTATCTTATACTCCATAAATATACAGACTATGAACTTTTTAAAAACTCTTTTCATTGAAAAACTTGCCAGATAAGTTATTATTATATGTGAATATAACAATTTTTTCTTCTATAAAAGAAGAAAATTAACTCAAACTGATTTTTGTTTAAAAATTCTAAAAATATTAAGCTTTAGGTAATTTTCAGGACAAAATCAGCTAACTTACAGTGTTTGTTGGATCTTCTTGTAAAATTCGATCATACAGCTGTATAGCATCATCATATCTATTTAAAAAGAAAAAGAAACCAATTAAAAACAAAAAAAATCAATGTCTCTTTTAGAGAGTTAATCTTTAGAGAGAGCAAAACAGATTTTTAAAAACTTTTATAGCACCGTTTCTACAACTAGAAACCACAAAGAATCCAACACAGAGAGAACAGATTGACGGTTGCCAAAGGAGGTGGACTGAGAAGTAGAAATGGGTAAAGGTGATCAAAAGAAACAAGATTTCAGTTACAAGATAAATAAGCCCAGAGATAATATACAACATGATTATTATAGTTAATAATATTCTATTGAATATTTGAAAGTTGGTAAGATGCTTAAAAAAATTATTTTGTAACTGTGTAGTGAAGGATGTTAACTAAACTTACTGTACCAATGTTTTCACAGTATATACATAAATTATGCTGTACACCTAAAACTAACAATAGTATATGTCAATTATAACTAAATAAAAAGATACCAATAACTTTTCTACCTTGAGTGCTTTAGAGGGTCTCACACACGTATATCTTCTAATTCAAATACTTGTTTTACAGAGGGGCAAGGTTGAAAAGGCTTAACGTAGTTAAAAATTTGCCCTGTCAACAGCAAACAAATCTTAGAACTAGGATTTGTTACGGCAAACATGATCCCATTTCACTAGAACAGAAAGTGTAGATTATAATTAGGTCAAATCCTATTTATTGGGAGTAACTAGCACTAGATTTATGCTAAGAAGCTCTCAGACACTATTCTGAAGCTCAGTAACAAAAGATCTTGTACAATTAATGATGTTACCACAGCTATAGGCAGATCCAAATGTAGGCGTCAGGTATGCCATTTTTAAATGGAATCAAACTGCTAACAAGATTCGGTTACCTTTCCATGGCTTCAAATCTCATGCCAGTTAGTCGCTTGACTCTGTGACTGCCAGGGAATTGTCTTCTCAACTCCTGAAGACAAAACTGAAAAAAATGGTTAAAAAAAGAATTGAAGAGTTGTAATTATATTATATATAGTAGACGAGCTTCAAAGAATGGTCTACATAGTCGTCAAGGCACTTCTTAAACAATCTCATTAGTGCAGTCTAATGACATGGAGTTACGTTAATCAGTAATGGATAGTGGGATGAAAGAATTCTGAAGTTACAAGTGAAAACAACAATCAGTTCTCAGAAACTGATCAATGTCTTAATTGGGAAAATGAGCAGATCATGAGATCCACTAATAATTCCCAATTGCTACTACCACAATGTTCCTTAAAAAAATTGCTTCCATAATGGGTCAGGTACCACTTAAATGCCTACAACAACTTTCTGTCCTTTTTCTCCCTATTATATAAACATTTTTAATAAAAATTAAGTTCTTTGATAGTACCTATAATACTTTCAAGTTCCTAGCAATTTCTATTAATGCTTTGCTTAATCTTGCCTTGTTGAAATCATATATTTAGCTATCATCTTGTCAGTACACATAACCTAATTTAAGGTCTGAAAATACAGATACCACACATCTTTAGAGTACCAATTTCCTCTGAGCAGGTATCCATAATTCATCAATTCTACTAAATAATCAAATATGTTCTGAACATCTACTATGTACAAGCTGATTATCTGAATATTGAAAGTGTTAAAAATGACAGAGATTATAAAAATAGTTCACTCTAGTTCTCCAAGCGTAAGGTACCAAAAATTGCCTTTATCTCATACTGAAACTATTAACCAACAATAAAGGAAGTTTTTATATGATCTGGATGTATAACTTTAGTCTACAGCTAAAACTTTGCTGCATTAACAAAAAAATTTAAGTGAGTCAAAACTGAAGATGATGTTTATTTATTTCTTTGACTTCATGCAAAACTCATACTACTTGGTCAATTATCCAAACTACCTAGAAATTCTGTAACACAGAATAAATATTGTATTACAAAAAAACTTACTGTCTAATTTGATCTGCTTTGTTTAACATTGTTATTATCTAACTTGATCTCCTACTTTATCAAATAGTATTTGGTTTTCAAAAAAGAAAACACAAAATTTTCCTCAAGAAATTAACTGTCACCTTTGTGGATATGTCTTGTAAGTTTTAAACACAATCCTTAAAGAGTTTATGATATATTTTTACCACTGGCAGTTCCAACAGAATTATGTGGATAGCCAGAATAACACAACTTCCTCGAAAAGGACAATACTAATTAAGGCATATGTATGTTCTCCTGGTATTTCTACTTTGTTTTTATGTATTTCTTTTTAGTTTAAATGAGGAAGCTGCATGAAGTAATACTTAAGAACTCAGGATATAGGAACAATAGAACAAACTGCTTCCTGATTTATAAAATGAATATAATAACATCAAACTCAAATCAAATTTAGAAGCAATTGTAAAGATTAAATGATATAAAACATTTAGCATAATGCCTAGCATGTGACTGTTCAAAAATTATAGCTATTATTATTTTAAAGCATTAATATTTTAAATAATATTCTGTACATAACAAGATTTTCAAATAATTTAAAAAGCACATTTGCAATATGACAAAACAGTAGCTAATGTTATATACTATGAAAATTAACAACACAAAAGATAAACTGGTTTTAAATGATCTGCTTCTTACTTTAAACTGTACATTATAGCATAATTTATCTGTTGAGTGGATAAATTTCTTCAATTAATTTAACCTTTCTGGGTTACTAATATCCCAGTATTCTAGGATACTAAATACTAAATTCTCAGAACTGTTAATATTTAAGAACACACTATGTCTCAAAGTATCTGTTAATCCCACCTACTCTTAAGAGTAGCATTTGAAACCAGCTATAGAAAGCATTCCATGTAAACCATGTATTAAGACATATATAATTCATGAAGCAAACTTAACATAAAATAAAATTAGTTTAAATACTTACCATTGCCAAGTCATCCCGACCACAGTCGAGGGCGGCAATCATAACTTGTTCATATATGATCCAAACTAAATATATTGAGGGGGGGGAAACTGAATTTTAATACATAAATCTCCCAACAAATATTTGATAATAAATTCATCTAGTTTCTGATAATTTTAAAGAACATTACTTATCACTGAAAATTGATTTATTGCCACATATTTGGAATTAATAAAGCATCCTAGATTTTCAGTAACATAAAATAGTTTAATATGAGGCAAAAATTTTTGACTTTTTAATACTTTTACTGCCCTAGAAGATTCTTAATGAAATACATTTTGGTCAGACTAGGCCTGTGGTCCTGCGAACTTTAAAACAAAAAAAATCTAATTGATAACATTACTACTGCCAGCTATTATAAATCCTTCTCAAAATAAAGTATTAAATCTCCTGAGAAGTTTTTAAAAAGTTACAGATAAATTGAACAGCAGGAAAAACACAAAGTTGGTTTAAGAAAAAAACACTGGGGCATCCCTGGTGGCCTAGGGGTTAAGTCTTAGCACTATCACCGCCAGGGCCTGAGTTCAATCCCCAGCCAGGGAACTAACCCACATATGGCATAGAGGACTTCTATCTTGCCTGCTGCTCCCCTTAGCAATGTATTTCAGTAAATCTGCCTGTTCTAGTCCTCACTTTGTCTCTGGTGAATCCTCTTACCCCCACACCTCTGGTCTACAGCCCAATTCTTCTATGCAAAAAGAAAAAAGAAAAAAATAAATAAAGAAAACACTAAGAATCATAAACTAACATGTGGTGAGCCTGAATATAATAAAGAACTTACTGTCATCTCCAAGCTTAGAAGCATATTCACTAATTAATTCCTCTCCAACTTCCACAATTTGCTCACTATTTCGCGAGTTTTCTTCTCTCCATTTTCTCATTTTATCTCTCATTTCTGGAAAAAAATAACCATGTCTTTACATATATATTTGATCAATCTCAAAAACTGTTAAAGATGTAATTAATATCTTTAGATAAAAATAAACTCACACTAAGGTAGAAGTCTATGGTATCTCAAACTTTGTAACACGGAAAATCAAGTTAACAAAAGCAGAAGATCCTTTAAAAGACTGAAAATGACTTACAACCAATATTATAAACACATTTAAAAGTAGTGAATGGGCATGGGTCTCCTACAAATATCCTCTATCTATCTATCTTTATGCAAGATTTGAAAAAAGTAAGGGTCAATTTTCCCAAATAAATACATCAAGATATTTCTGAAGTTCATCCCTTGACTCAGGAATTGAAAATGCTCAAAACACAGTATAATATCATATAAACTGAATAAGTATTCATCACAAAACTTCCTTATAGTTACTACAACAGTACATAATGTATATATACTACCACGCAAGGAAACAAAATTTAAAAACTTAGAAACAAAGATTTGATTATATAAACAATAAGTAATATGACCAAAAAGTCTAGACCCTAGTTGAATTCATAAAATGTTAGAAAATCTTTACAAGTTAACATACAGTTTATTCCTTCTACAGAAACCTACAAAGCAGCTTGCCTCTTATTCTGCACAGGAAAGCAGCTTGCCTCTTATTCTGCACAGGAAGTAACATTGAATTGAGTTTCAAAGCTTGAAAAGAAATTCAGCAGGCAAAGAAAGTAGGTTATTGCACATAGGCAAAACTGCTGGTAAATAAAATTAATGAAATAGAGTGGGATTAAGTGATGAATGAGCATGAAGTAGAAACACTGAACTTCTTAAAGGCCTTTTATTTCATACTAAAGAATCTGAAGTTTATTTTTGAAGGTGGAGAACAATTAAAAAATGGTAAGCAAAAGAAAAGCAATATGATCAGATGTGCATGACAGAAATATCATTCTGGTGTAAACAGTTACAAAAACTGCAAAGAAGTAAAATTGAAACCAGTCAGGGAGCATATACAGTCTAGTGAATCTAAACGGTTGTATCTAAATGGTTTCCTATAATTTAATCAAATCTATAATTTTCCACACCTCTGAATGGAGATAATAATACCTCCCATAATTCTGAAATATACAGTTACAATTAAGCAAAGTGTATATAAAGTTCTCAGCAAAATACCTGGCACATGGTAGGGACTTAGTAAGTTCCCCTCCCCAACCCCTTCAATGAAACTGTCCAAGTGAAATAGAATGAATCAAGCAATGGCAACAGATATAAAATGAAGTCATTAGATACAAAAATTATATATAAACTATTTCATTTATTTTTTTAAAAAACATTCTCCAAGGATGATAGCAGATAGTACAGCACAGTCAACTGTTGTTATAAGACTTGTATAACAACCTATGGAAAAAAGCTAAAGCAACAAGTAGAATATGAAGATTCTAGCAACAGAAGAATCCCAAATACGAATATGAATACTGGTGATATTAATATTGTTTTTCTATGACCAGCAGTTGTAATAAACAAATAAGTATGGGATATTATAGATTTTTTTAATCTCATGTCTTGAAGAATTAGGAGTAGGGGGTCTCATGTAAAAGGAAATACAAATATAAAAGAAAAATTGAAATAAATCTTCTACACTCTGACATTTCTAATGTTAATGTGAACTCATCAGGTACTCTGCATTTAAATACACACACACACACACACACACACACACAGAAACACTTTTCACTCTAGAAATTCCAGTGGTCTTAGCAGATCTTTCATCAGGACCTCAGGACTAAGAGCAAATAATATAAAGATTATACAGGAAATTACAAGGGTGTAGGAGCTCTGTGCCCAGTAACTTATGTCCGTTACTATATCACAATGTATGTTATCTTTAGTCTACAACTTTGGTTCTCAGAAATTCCATCCATATCCCCTATATCAGAGTTCACTTACACTATTTAAGTCCACATTCTCTTTCAATTTGGCAGATAATTTTAGAGGAGGAAAAAGAGTTTTGGGAATATATTTAGTATTTTGCACATGTGTTCACAACACTTATTCCTTGCCCTTATTCCTGACATCCAATTAATACTAGCACAAACAAATGAATAAATATGCTTCTTGAGTTTTCAAAAATTATCACTTGAACTATTAAATATATTCTTAGATGGGAATTCTCAGTGCCCTTTAAGAAACGGAATTCCTACCTATACATGTCAATTTACCAGCAGTCTTCAATTTTCCATCCATCTCCCATTTATTCACAATCGAGGTCTATTATTAGAAAACCTCTGGTTTTTAAAACATTTCCCTTTCATCTACTGGTACATTCCATAACTTCTTAGTCATTCAAAATAAAGCACTACATTATTTCTGTAATATATGCTAGAATTATAAACATGAAAAAAGAATCATTTTTTGTACTTGCAAAGTTCACAAACAGAAAACTGTATTTACAAAATAATAAAAGCTAAGATAATGATATGTCCAAAGTACTAAGAAAGTAAGGTGAGGGGAAAAATTGATCCCAGCTGGTGGGGAAAAGAGGTTAAAGACACCTGTGATAGATGAGTTAAGTTCTCAAGATCAAAGGGATTTTGGTAAGATGAAGTTTAGAGCAAAAAAGCTTAAACCATGGTGGAGGAATGGAATTTATCAGATGAGCTCAGGATGGGAACTTGCCCAACCCACCAAGATTGAGGGCTAGAGGGAGAGGGAGAAAGGGAGAATGGAGGTGAATCAATTTCTTCAGGCCATTGCAGAAAGAAGTACAGGTAAATTCTTTACTTATTAACCTCAAAAAAAGAACAGGGAACACATTTTTTTTTTTTTTTGTCAAGGACTAATGACACAGACCCCAAATAAAAACCTGAAGCATCACCCACCAGAAAAAGGAAAATAAGTACTTTTTCTAGAGATTAAATGGTGGAAACAAAGAGCCCTTTCACCCAAATGTTTCCCTATTTATCCACACTATAAATTTTAAAAGAAAGCTAAATTTAGTATAATATGTACTTCTAGGTATCTTTTAGTTTTTAAATAAAGGCATTATCTATATATTGTTATGACTCCTTCGAAGACATTTTTAATGTGTTACAAATACTTCAATTTTGCCCCACAATTCTCATTACCAAAAGGTTTTTCCTTTGTTTCCAAGTTTTACATTTTTATCTTCTTCACTTTTTTTTAAAGGTAGTAGTAGTGTGTTGTGGTCACTCATGGACATGCAAATGTCAAACTGCTTCAATTCAAATTCTGCTGTCACTTTCTAGCTATACCACATTGGGCAAATTAATCCTTTGCACTGTAATGATCTCAACTAAAATGAGGAAATGAAATAGTAATACCTATATCATACAGTTAATTGTAACTATCAATTTTCTATCCTCTACTTTCTTCCTAGTCTTATACCCTCTGTGGATTCTTTATTGTTTCTGAGCTAAGAGGCTTTGAAGATTTTTCCCAAGCTAGTTATGCATTCTATAACCAAACGTTATTTATCTTTTCCTAATCCTACCATTTCTGGCCTTTTTTCCCCCTTCATTTTTCACTGAGAGCAGGGGATTTAAAGCAGAGGTCAAGAAACTACAGCCCTATGATCAAATTTTGCAGCCACCTGTTTTGTATTGTAAGTTTGTTCAGAATATAGTAGGCACCTTTATTCATTTAGGTATTGTCTAAAACTGGTTCTGTGCTACAATGGCAAAGTTGGATAGTTGAGACAAAGGCAAAATATTTACTATTAGCCTTTACAGAAAACCTATGCCAACTCCTGATTAAGAGCATTAAGTGGCACAAAGCATGCAGAATCTAGAATCAGTTTATTGCATATTCTGAAATATCATTTAGATATATTCAATTACATGGGCCAGAATACTCCTTTAAAAGGTTAATACCTGTGGGGTAACAGATAAATTTTAGATTTTTCATAGTCCCACAATTAATCTAGTCAATTGGTCTCATGTGGAAAATAGCCATTCTAAAAGAAAAGGCTATTTCACTTTAGAAAAAGAAATAATTTATTTCAATGCACAGAAAACTTCAGAAGTGTTTTTCAAATTGTATATTATAACCCATTTTTGGGGCATGAAATCAACATGATGGATTTATTCCAGCATTTGTTGCGGGGGAAAAAAATGAAACAATAAACAGAATGAATGCACTGGTCACACTAAGTACTTTTTAAATGAAACTTCGGTTTCAATTAATACACGTTAAAATATTTGTGTATTTTATTGAGTAAATTTATAAAGGGTATTTCTTATTGTGGATTATGGGAAAACGTTGTAGTTGTAGGTCCTGGACATACTTTTTATAGCCTAACAAGTAAGAACAACAGTTTAACACACAGTCATAAACATCATTATACAATAATACAAATGAGTGAACACAAAACAATAAGCATTGTTTACATACAAAATATATATTTTGCAGAATAAACAGCCTCTTACTTGAAAACACCTTAAAGCATATGTAAGCAGCTGGCCTTGTCACACTCCAGATGCTGCTATAAAGTGTAAAATTACTTAAAACATAAAAATCTGTTCAGAAATATCTTAAATAAATTAATCTAAAAATCAGTAAAATAATCTCTTGAAGGAAACATGTTTTCACCTTTGATAAACCACTACTGCAACAATATTGGAAAACCAAAGTTCTTTTTTTCCAAACAATGTGGGTTACCTTCCCAATGTTTAACTTATATTTCTTGTTAATGACACCTTAGGATTACAATTTTTACTACTGTTTCTATCTTCTCTTTTAGTATCTCAATCTTGTGATTCTTTTGAACTGTTTCTAAGATTTATACCTTTCACCCTTTTTCACTGCTACTATTCAAGTACAGGTTCTTATCATCCCACTCTAAAATTGCTAAGTTATCTTTCCAACTGGTCTCTCCACTCAAATTCAATCCGCAAATCACTACCTGATATTTCTAGAAAGATTTATTTCATTAGGCAATTCAAATTCTTAAAATGCCCAATAATTTGCCTTTTGAACAATACAGTGTAAAAATTAGAAGCAAAGCCTTTGGAATTAGTCATCATCGAACTAATTTACTGAATGCCTACTATGTGTGGGGCCTAATCTGGGGTAAAATGTAAGAAACAAGATAAAATTACTGTCTTGAACGTTAGTAGGGCATAAACATGGCAAATCAAATAATTTCTGAGAGTGAGAATTCCTATGATGGAAATTAAAAGGCCACGTGATAAAGTCAGAGGGATGGAGGAAGGAAGAAGCAGCCTTTCCAAGTGCAGAGGAGAGATTTCATTTCTGAGGAAGCCCTTTTCAAGCCCATGGAAGAATGAGGAGCCAGCCACAAACAGCATAGATAAATTCTTGAGTCAGAAATCAGGTTGGCAAATTCTAAGACAGTTGCATGAGTGGATGAACTTAACTAGTTTATAGCCTGGAAGACTAGTGTAAGAGCTGCTCAAAACACAGTACTTTTACTGCTATGTTGTCCGGGACAAGCTTCTTCAGTTCTCTAGTTTCCTTCGTCATTTGTCATCCATAAAATGGGAATAAAACCTATCTCATAAAATATGTTGGGATTAAATAAGATTATACAAAATATTTAACAAGCTAGCATTCACTCATCAAAGAGAATTTACTGAGAGCTTCTTTTCTAAATCTCATCACTCTGCTAGACAATGGAAGGAATGAGATCTGTGTGCATAAAGGATATAAACAATAATTAGAATATGATGGGTGGGATTAATAAATTTCAGTAAAAACCATAACCTTCTTTCAGTTAAATTACCTCAAAGAGTTTCTTTCTGCAAATCATACCAATGATACCTCAGCATTATAGAAGTTCTTGGTTAACAGGCCTCATCAGGTAGCTTTTAGCTGTTTCCATCAGTTATATTTAAAAAAGCTGTCTGTATGCAAACCAGTTCACACTAGTTAAAAATTAAAATAATTATATACTACAATTAAATATTATATAAACCAAAGAAAACTTGAGTGCAAAAAATACTAATTTATATGGGATGCTTTGAAAAGACTCCACAAAGGTAAATACCTTCGAAAAACTGCTGTCATGTTAACATAATTAAAAATATGAGGAAAATGATAAGAATCAAAAAAGACCGATGTACTGAAGCTGCCACACAAGGGACTTAAATACTCTTGTTCCATATTAAAAAAAGTATAACTGAGTATGGTTATTAAAGATGGCATGGAATTTCAATCAGGGAATCTCTGTCAAAAAAGAGGCCTAGCCCCAAATCAATACATATGTTGTAAATTTTAAGTTTAATGAAAGGATCATTCATTATTATGTATTTTTAATAGGAAGGTGGCTCTCAACTATATACAAAACAAAGCCCAAACTTCTTACCTTGCCTTCCAGGCACTAACCTAGGCACTAACCTACCTTTCTGGTGCTTAATTTCTAAAACAGACTTTCACAAAACATATCCAAATCTATAATCATAAGTGATCAGAAGTGAAATCTCAGGCTATGCTCCACGAGATCTGGGACCATGCCTATTTTGTTGAGCACTATATCCTCAAAAACTGGTAACAGGGCCTGGCGCAAAGTACTCAATGAACATTAACAAATTTGCGGCGTAGTTACTATTTACTTATTATAATAACTCTAAATACATCACTTCTCTTTAGAATGTTCACAGGGTTAATTCCAAGTTTCTTAGTTAAATAATCTTGTCTGCTGGCACTTACAAATCTACTTAGTCCCTAAGATTCTATACTTGACATTGTAATCTAAGAAACCTATATTGAATATACCTTCAAATTAAAATTTTTCTAAAAAGCATGGAATACTTGAAACATTTTTAAAAAGCATTAAAATAACAGCCACATATCTGCCATCCAATTCAATATATCCTGATACAAGTCTTTAAAAACTATGAATTCACAAATCTGTCTTTTCTAATCATTAGACTATGAACTCCCTGAAGATAAGGGACGTATGTTAATTATGTTAATTATCTAGTCTTAACTACATAAAACTTTTAATATTATGTTTTCTCCCAAAACAGGTAGAAACACTGAGGTTCTGTGAACTAAAGACCATAAAACCAATCATAAATCACTAAATCGGTTCGAGTATAAAAGAATTTTACTGTTCTCAAACATGTTTGCACTTGCTAATCCTGGAGAGACTTATTCACCGTCAAATAATCAATATAACTTTCACTTCACATGGTATCATGTCATTGTTTAAATATCCAAAGATCTGTTCCCTGACATCCACTGTTAAATGCCGGGAATATAAATTTCAGTTACCCAAGTTCATACCTTAATGAAACTCAAGACTCTGCTCTTAAACATGCCTCCCGCAAAAAGTTAGAGAAGGGAAAATCTTTCGTACACAATTGGTCTAAAGTTTGGGTGCTTTCAGATCTGAAGATTAAAAGATTTAAAACACCCTCTACCTTAAACTAGGATAGGAAAAGAAGTACCTCATACTTGAGTACAGGTCCAAGACAAACAGTTCTTTTCTCCTTCAGAAAAGGAACTAATCAAAGGTGGCAATAAGGAAATTGAAAGGTATGTGTAAAAGTGCTCTGAAGGGGAGTGGACGCAGAGTAATTTAAAAGGGGAGCAATCAGAAACCCAGCTCTGAAGAGAGAATGAACATAAAGTAGTATGTGAGAATAATCACATTAGTCCACGGTCCTCTACACATCTTTTATGCACAGGTGTAACTCTTACACAGCATTAAGAAAAGGCCTCAGAGGCCCTGCATTTCTTGGCTGCCAAGAAGCTTCAGGGGCACCTATTCTGCCTCCTCCTCGCCGCCCAGCAGCCACAGGAAACATGTAACATTCCCAACGCCAGCGCCCTGAGCCGCTGGACTGGCGCGAAAATAGCGGGTCAGTCTATTTACAGGCGAAAGCAGTGGGAAACACCGCAGAGTCCAGTCGGGGGCCGGTCAAAACGAGGGTCAGCCTCAATCTCCACCTCAGCCACCACCTCATCGTGGCCTGTGTAGAGAGCTTTCGTGCGGAAGACAGACCAGAGAATGCAGCTCTCCGAGAACAGCCTAGCATCCCCGCACCGCTTCCCAGAGCTTTCGGTCTCTCCGCACCCTCCCTGCCCGCAATTACCTTCCCAAGTGACATCGTAAAGCTCTGAGACCTTCGCCATCTTCTCAAACCTAAAGGCAGCGGGGTGAGGAGGCGGAGGGGCGGGGGGGCGCGGTCACGTGATCTGAAACCGGGCGGTGGCAGATTACGACATCGTTTCTCATTGGTGGAGAGAGCTCAGAGGGCGGGACTCGCTGCCCAAGTGCACGCGGCTCGGGGAGGGGCTGCTGGGAAAGGGGGCGGGGCGACCCGGGCGCGCTCAGAGGCTGCGACAGCTGGGAGGCCCGCCGAGTGGTGGGGCCAGCTGCGGGTGAGCTGCCTTTTACCCTGGGTTTTTTAACACTTACTGGGGGTTGAGTGTGCACCACTCCAGTTTTTCAAAATTTTTCTCTTCAACAGTGTATTCATTTTTTTCCCTAGTCATTTTTTCCCAGTGTATTCATTTTCCCCCTTTCCCTAGTCAGTATCGTGTTCTCTTCACAGCCCGCTGAAACGTAACGTTCTACATGAATCGTGTCCCTAACTTTGCTCCCTCCCTAGGGGAATCCACGTTCCATTTCCTTTTTAATATGTTCGGCTAAGCTGATACACTCGAAGTCTTCGTTTTTGAGACTGAGTGCGATTCTGAGATTGCGCTTTCTATTTCTGTGGCCGAGGACTTGTTAATGTTTACATAATGTTTTCGAGCCACATTCTATCTTTAGTTAATGGTCCTCGTGGATGTGATTATTTTATCTTGTCGGCCTGCCTCTCTAGATTTGAGATTCTGTAAGAATAACCATTATGTAACCGCTTGTAAGTAAATGGATGTGGGACTGAGAACTACCAGCCCCTACTCTTCGCTCCTCTGCCAAACCTCAGGGGGGAGCCTCCTTCCTCACCCCTTACTCACAAAGCTAATTGCTCTCAGAATTTTGGACCTAGTCCCCTGAACTAGGGAGAAATTTGTTGGCGTGAAAGCAAATATTTGAGAGTATGAGTATGTATTTTGTATTTGAAACAATGAGAGCATAAGAGTGTGAAGGGTGAATATGTAAAGTGAGGAAGGAAGGATAAAAATCCCTATCTAATAGCATTAATTAAGAGTCATTTGAAGAGGCGATAGATATCAGTTTGCAACGAGAAGGGTGTCCTATTCCGATAAAGAGTGTCCTATCCCAATAGTCATATCCCAATATTGCTATCCCAATAGCAAGGAGGGAGTTTTTAAGAAACGAACTATCAGTGCCACTGCCACAGAGAAGTCATATGAGGACAGAAAAGACTAGTGAATTTATAAATGAAGATAAGATTTGAATAAACTTCATTTTCTCCAGGCAAAACAGACCTTAAAAAAAAAAACAAAACCCTTCAATAGAACAACTTGGTGTCACAAAAAGAACAAGAATTCTAGCAGACAGATCTGAATTCAGATTTAGTAGCTGGGTAACTTTCGGTATGTATATATAAGCAATAGAGTGATTTATATATAAAAGGAAGATAATTATATCTACATACAAAGATCCCTATATACCTTGAATTGTTATCAGGATGGAGGTACCAATTCTATGACTCTAAATATTTTTTATATGCTATGACTCCCAAATTCATAAATCCTGCAATCTTTACTTCTCCCCTGAAATCCAGTTCTGCTTTCTTGATATTCACTTAGCTGGTCAATATGCATCTCAGAGTTAACATATCACAAACAATTCTGGATTCCTGTCACCAGCAACCCCAGTTGCTCTTCCCCATTGCAAATAATGAAACCATCCACCTAAAACTAAAAATAGTATTTCCTTCAGCCTACCTATATACGTCTATCTGCAAATTCCATGTTGTCCTTCTAAAACATTCCAAAAATCCACTTATTTTTCTCTCCATTAATCTTTTTTTTAAAGATTTATTTATTCATTCATTCATTCATTCATTTATACATACATACAAACACTGGGTACAGTCAGAAGCGCAGGAGGGTGAGAGAATTCACCAGAGTCAGAGCGGGGAACAGGGCAGGCAGAAAGACCAAAGTACACTGCTGAGGGGAGCAGCGCAGCGGGCGGCAGAAGAGGTCTGCGCACCATGGGGGACCCTGCTCCAGTGGTCGGGGAGCAGCCGGGGATCGAACCGATAACCGATGCTGCAGAAGCTGCAGAGGCTGCAGAGCCTGCAGGCAGCTTCGCAAACCAGCGCTCAGACACTGCGCCACCAGGGAGGCCCTATCTCAATTAATCTTAATGTAAGACACATCTTTCTCTTGCCTGAATAATTATTAACATCCTTAATGGCTTAGTTTAATTCTTACTGTGTAAAATCTGTTGTCTATGCTGCAGCTCTTTCGAGCATTAAAAAAAAAAAAAAATCAGACTACAAAAGTCCTTTGCATACAGCTCGCAAACGGCTCCCCCTTGCAATAAATATATGCTTTAAATTCTACCTAATTTACAGGACTTTACTCATCTGCTCCCCACCTACTCTCTTTCCTCAACTCTTTTCACTAGATCCCAGCCTACTTAATCCTCAAACCTACCAAACTTCCATCTGCCTTGAGTATGGTATTTGTAGATCTTTGAGTGACTCTCTTTTTGTCATCCATATCTCTGTTTTAAATGTATTACTTATAGTAGACCTTTCTTAATTTTCCAATAAAAAGTAACCCCTGGTTAATATCTATTACATCATTATGACACATTACTATTTGATATTTTGTTTGTTTACTTATTTTTGATATTTGCCATTATTATATAGGCTCCTTAGACTTTGTCATTTTAGCCTTGGAATATCCAACCTAGAAGAACACCTTCCACACAGTTAATGTTTGTTGAGTGAATGACTTAATGAATTAGAAACTCAAAAAATGGCAGTTTGTTAGGATAATGTTTCATAGTAGTGTGTGTTTGGTTATGGATTAGATGTTTTCTTTTTATATCTGTTACTTTTCTAAACAAAAATTTAATGATATGGGAACATGTCAGTTCATTTTATACTTCCTAGTCCCTTACCACAGTATACAGCATATGTATTTTGCCATACATATACAAGCAGTATTTATACTAAATTGTTGAAGCCCAACATTTTGTTGAATTTTTTGAGGGAGTGAAAGTTCATGAAGTTATGGTCTTAAAGACTTAAAATGAATCGTAATGTTTACAGCCAATTAAGGGAGTATTTTCCATTTTCATATTTCCATAATATTTTCTAGTCACTTCATTTAAAAGACCTGTACCTAACTCCTATTATCTATCAATCAATGAGCCTTATGATATTTGGCTAAAAGAAGTCATTTTCACATGGAAATGAGAATAATTTTAGACTAAGAATGTACCTATGATTCTTTCGAACAATATTTTTCAAACTTTTTGCCTGCAACCATTGTAAGGAATACATTTTACATCATTATATAGTGTGCATATATATATTTAAAACAGACAAAATTTAGAAGCTAGTCTTACAATGTCTCCTATATTTCTATTAAAATTAATTACTTCTATTTTATTTTCTAAAAATACTGGTTTTAACCCCCCCAGTTAATGACCCATATTTTGAAAAATCCTAGTGGACGTTATACATGTTTCTTAATCTGAAACCCTGAAGTGAAATGATTTAATTAATTTCTTGCCAATAGTAGGTAACAAAGATGGGAAATCCATGTAGACAATATGACTTACCTAGATCATTAGTATTCTTTGAAGTAGGGGAAGTGATTGTTTATATATGAAAACATTTCAAATGACTTATAAATTCTGCTTTCCTAGACAAACCCGGGGGGTGGGGGGAACTGGCAAATCAGTGAATAAAGTATATTCTTAACATTTTATAACATATTCATAATTATAAATAAAAAAGAAATAACTTCTACCTATGTAGCTCCAAGAACATAAACATCAGTCACATTTCCATAAACCCACCTTTGCAAAACATTCTCAAAGATTTGCCACTTACTCTTTCACATCTTTAAAAAGGAAGAGCTTTCATTCCTATATAGCAAAAGTATTTTATTGAGTTTCTCTGACTAAGCTGCCCAGCATTGGTGACAAATATCAAAAAATAGTCAAGGAGCAAAATACTAGATTATGTCATATCAGACACCATGGGGAGCATTATCTTATTTAATGATCTCAAAAGCACACTTAAAAAGGCAAATGAATGTGGTCTATGATATGCATTTTTATATGAAACTATATTATGATTTTCATATTTTTCTATAAGACTGTTTGAATAATTAGAGTGATGCTACATTAGAATGAATAAGGATCAGAAAGGAATAATTTTAAATAAGCCCACATTTTCTGTGTGATGGGATAAGCTTTGATTATTTATCAGCCAAATTGACCCACAAACTACTTTAGAGTACTCTTTTGTGGCCAGGATTTACTTAATTCAATTAATATTTTCAGACATTATGAAAGACTAAAGCAACTTCTTAAATTTAATAAACCTAATGGCATTTATAAAATGGATTATTTAACATTACAGAGCATAATACAATTTTAATTGATTTTGTAATATTCAACATCTTCCTCAAATCATTTATTTTTTTTTTTTTTTTTTTTTATAGAGGCATGTTTTTATTTATTTGTTTGTTTGTTTGTTTTGTTTTGTTTATACATGCACTGGGTACAGTCAGAAGCGCGGGAGGGTGAGAGAATTCACCAGAGCCAGAGCGGGGAGCAGAGCAGGCAGAAGGACCGAAGCACACTGCTGAGGGGAGCAGCGGGCGGCAGGAGAGGTCTGCGCGCCATGTGGGACCCTCCTCCGGTGGCCGGGGAGCAGCCGGGGATCGAACCGGAGCCGCAGAGGCCGCGGGCAGCTTCGCAACCCAGCGCTCAACCACTGCGCCACCGGGGAGGCCCTCATTTATTTAGAATCTACTATTTTCTTTGTTCTGTCTTACTCATAGTGAATTAAAGTTTCCCATTCTATGTAGCGCAGTTTATAACCTCTGTTTACTCTGACAATTACCTATCAAAGTAAATTGGTCTTGCTACAACTCTTACAAAATTTACCATAGCATTTAAATCATGTTATTGCTTCTACTTAGTGAACCATAACCATAATTCATTTATGTTTTAGAGAAAACATTGCTTATTTCATATTCATTCTATGGCAATAGACTTTACACTTTGACACATTCACATTTGGAAGTTAGTTTTCCTTAGAGCCTTATTTACCAAAATCTAGGTTAACGTGAGGTTGTGTTAGGAATCTTCTGAACACTGCATTTTATAAGATTATGTAATTTAATATTGTCTCCCAAAACACACCTCCTATACCGCCTTTAGTGGCATAAGCATAGCATTTAGGCACTTCTGATTTTTCCATATTTGCTATCATTTGTAACATATGTCTTAAAATGTGACAGCCATTCACTTAACATCCAATTACATTATTTTTTAAAAAGCAAAGGAGAGTCTCCCGGAAATATTTCCAATGAGATCACTTTGGTCTTTTCACAGTAGAATTCACAGACTGATAATTAGTCCTCTGTGCCATAGCTGTAACACTGAAGAGGAAAGTACATCCAGAAAGAGTACACCCAGAATTTCTCCCATGTGGGCAATAAATTAGAGCTGGTTTTCTTTTTTTTTTTTTTGTCTTGGGTTTTTTTTTTTTTTTTTTTTTTTTAGATTTATAACCATGTTTAATAGTCTCCTTTTTTAAAACAATATTTATTTACTTTCCCCAAAGTGCATATTCTGTTCTTATACACACATACATCTGTGCATATGTAACTGTCCTTGTGCAAAAATGCGTTTTCATAAACATCCCTTTGGGGGACCATTCAAAGGTCCCTAAGTACTAGTATTGTGTCCTGATGGTTTCTGGAGCACATCTAGATTCCATTTTTTACCACAGAACTATAACTGAATTCTTAACCTGAAAAATGTTCAAAAAAAAGTATTCACAATAAATTGCATTATGGGTAAACCCACAGGAAAATATACTATTATTTTATTCTTTTTTTTATAATTACATGTTATTCTGTTATTGATATAGTTTTTTTTCCCACATTCCCTCTTTTTGGTGACTTGGTAGCACAAGTCTAGCACAACTGGAATATGTAATTTTATTTATCTGTAGTTCTGAGATACCCTTGCTACAAGGTCACAAAGTCACACTTAACTGATCATCTTTTTCTTTCTGTAACCATTCTGATTACTCTTGGCTAAAATTGGCTAAAAAGGGTAATGATCACTCTGTTCACAAAGTACCTATTTCATCTTTCAGATAATAACTTATGCGCTTTTGTCCATAGAAGGGCTTGTTTAATTAACCCTATAGTATATTTAGGGTTAAGACTGGTTTCCTGGCAGAATGTCTCTAAGAAAACTGCTTACCCCCTAAATCCATTTCTTCAATCCTATCTGTCACTTCCTCATTTCTGAGGGAAACCACAACCTCAAATGGTTTAACTTTATGCAACTTAATTTTTTAAATTTGTACTTGAAATTCTTTATCTTGAAACTCTGAGTTAAGGAATAATATAGGTATGTTCCAAAAGCTGCCACTTGTGCCAAAATTCTACCACCTCAGTAGAAATTCTTTCAACATTATAATAGTTTAATTTGCTTCTCCTCAAATATTTCTATTACAGATTTCTTTGCATCTTTTAAGAATAAGCTTAAACATTTGTCTTGTGGACAGAATAGCGATGGGGATTGGCAGAAGAGAAGTGATCTCCACTGATACAATTTTTCTAGCAATAGCAAGATAATGAAATTTTAAACAGCCTCAGTCTAATCACAAAAAACATAATACAAAAACCAAATTGAGAGCTATCCTACAAACCAAATCAATGAGGGAATGTCAGTGACAATATAAATTGCTATTCTAAGCTTTTAGCCAATACTTAGTCTTAAGTACCTATTGAAAGATTCTAATATCATGTAGTACAATTACAAATATAAATATAGTTATGAAAGCACTCAAAAGTATTTTATATTATAAATTGTACATACCATATCATAGAGGACATTGTGCTCCTTTGTGTTCTTGTAGCTGCAATGAATTCTTTGCCAACATACATGTCCATTGCTGTCTTCTGCAGAACTCACTAGGTTTTAATCCCACATTACACATTATAGCTAGGTAAATTAAGTAATTTGAGTGAATTATTTTAACTTGATTGAACCCTAGTTTCTTCATGAGCATAATAATAGTTACTCATTATAACAAGATTTCAAGGAATGAACAGAGTTCTTCCCCAGAGTCTTGCATTTGGCATAATACTTTTATGCTATAACCAATGACTGAGAACTTACTATATACCAGACACTGTTTAGATTTATAGATTTATATAGAATTATAGATTATTTCATTTAAATTTAGTTAATTCTTACAACAACCCCATTTTGCAGATGAGGGAGCAATTAAGAAATATTAAATAACATCCCCCAAAATCCACTCTAGTATACTCCTTTACCTTGTGGGTTCTTAGTACATAGTGACTGTGTCATTTTAGTCCTCTGGGATGTGGACAATAAGATGGAGTTATTTTTGCAAGTGGTCCATTAGGAGACCCACTCCATATACAGCAAAAAAGGAAAAGGAAGCAGGATTGATTAAGGAAAGCATTCATACCACGATGTGTATCGTACCTGCAGAAGAAAAAAGTAGAAAGCAGGGTCAGACGGAAAGGAAGCAGGAGCAACAAGGGTAGCCATAGTTAGCATTTGGTTAGCTCTTACAAATTATCAGATGGGTCAATGGGAAAAAAAACTGAGCAAAGATTACCCAGTAGAAGAGTCCTACTTTGGTCAGAAATATCCAGACCATAGAACCCAAGAGTTAGGTTGTTGAATAGGGGCCACCTGGAAGGCTTGGCCCACCTCCGAAGCTGATATAAATCAAATCCTGAAGGCTTTAAAAGCTAGAGGTTGTCAGCTCCCTATACTCCTTGCTGCTGAATAGTAAGTTCTTTCTGAAAGGAAGATTTCTTTTTAACTGAATACTTAAATTTATTCACTTAACAACACAGATTTAACACCCATGATGAGCAAAACATTATGCTTAAGTTCAGGATTAAAAAAAAAAAGATATCATTCCTCCTCCCCTCATGAGGCTCACATTCTGGGTATAAGTGAACAAATTTTCCCCCCACACCCCCCTCCATAGGTGACTAAAGTTGTAGAGGTGCTGTTTTGTTTTGTTTTAAATTGAGGTAGATTGTTAACAGTGCACCTTCATTGTGCCACAGTAGCCATGATCATTATTTTTCCATTTTGGGTGTAATGTTCCATTATTGATGAGATGTAGGGGTATGTGTTCTCTCTCCTGAGTAGTTATACTCAGAAGCTATTAGACATAAATAGCTCAGAAGCTATTTAACATAGCTATTTGACATATGGAAATTATATTTCAGCTCCACAGAATGACTTTTTCTAGTCTATGATTAATAGCTCAGCAATGGTTGCCTTGTGTTGAAGAAAACACATGGTAGAATATATTTATAGCCCACAAAGCCTTAACAATTTGCTTGTTTTTCATGAGAAACAAATCGGGAATTATCATTATTTTCTTGGGCTGGAAATTAATGGTACTACCATTGATAAATTACTAGAACTTCATCTTTCTTTTTTCATTCAAATTCCAAATATATCCAAGCATTTAGAATTGTTTTTTAAAAAAAGGTCTTTCCAAGAATAACAATTTAACTCTGAAAAAAAAATCAGCATTTTAAAAATTCTAGAATTCCAACTCTCTGTGTAGTACTGAAATGTTCAAAACTCATTGTACTCAGAATGCTCCTTGATAATTCACTGGGTAACTGCAATACTATCATTAATGAACTCTTTAAAAAAAAAAAAAAAGATTTATTTATTTATATAAGCACTGGGTGCAGTCAGAAGCATGGGAGGGTGAGAGAATTCACCAGAGCCAGAGCAGGGAACAGAACAGGCAGACTGACAAAGTACACTGCTGAGGGGAGCAGCGGGCGTGGCAGGAGAGGTCTATGCGCCATGTGGGACCCTCGCCAGTGGTCGGGGATCAAACCGGCGCTGCTGAGGCTGTGGGCAGCTTTGCAGCCCAGTGCTCAACAGCTGCGCCACTGGGGAGGCCCTTTGATGATCTCTTTTTAATAAACTTAAACAAGGTGCAATTTTATCAGCATTTTTCCACAACAAAGACAACTGGTTGCAATTCTGAAACATGAATGGCGTATAAATCTAGAGGCCCTCAGTGTCAGCCTGCTCTACTCCCTTCTGAATGCTAGGACAGCCGTGGTTAATATTTGCTAATGCTACACATATGCCTTCCTGGGAAGGACATCACTAGGGTCCAGATTCAGGGCTGCCAGGAGGAATGATGTAATGAAGTCAGCACCTGATATGAAGAAGCAGAGTATTTTCCAGACTCACATGAGTAGCAAAGTTATTAAAGGCAATTTTTGTGACAGAAGATGAGTGGTGAACAAAGAAAACTTTGCTGGTGATTTTCAGGTAGTGGTTGCATGGGACACAGTAGCTATGATTTTCAGTATACAAATTCAGGGGTGCAAGAATAAAATTTGCACTTTTTTAAATCTCAATTTTTGTTTCAGTTACTATTTGAGGAAGAAACATCTCAGTTGATTTGGAGTTTGCCCCACACTGCTACAGCCTCCTGTGACTCATGTGAAAGTGATATTCAAAACAATTGATACCCCATAGGACAAGGTCACCAATAATTTCCACTTTTTGGTTAGCACACCCTGTGTAAGCCCCCCCCCATATTAAATAGGGCTGTCCTATGTTATAAATAGGATATTTCAGAAATGATGGAGTGTGGCAGTCATTAAAATATGTTTTTTTTGGGCCTTCCTGGTGGCGCAGCGGTTGAGCGCTGGGTTGCGAAGCTGCCCGCAGCCTCTGCAGCGCCGGTTCAATCCCCGGCCACCGGGCGAGGGTCCCACATGGCGCGCAGACCTCTCCTGCCGCCCACTGCTCCCCTCAGCAGTGTACTTCGATCCTTCTGCCTGCTCTGCTCCCCACTCTGGCTCTGGTGAATTCTCTCACCCTCCCGCGCTTCTGACTGTACCCAGTGCTTGCATAAATAAATAAACAAATCTTTAAAAAAAAAAAAAAAAAATATGTTTTTTTTTTTTTTTCCTTATCTCTCATAAGATAACTTTCTGGAAAAGGCAGCTGCTATGTCATGAGGATACTCAAGCAGTGTCACAAAGAGTTCTGCTTCGTTAGGAACTGAGGGCTCCTGCAACATCCAGCATCAACTTGCCAGCCATGTGAGTGAGACATCTTTGGAATGGTCCCCCAGCTACAGTCAAAACTGCAGACGCAACTGACATCCTGACAGCAAACTCAAGCCTGGAGCCTGAACCACCCAGGTAAGCTGATCCCACATTCATGACCCATAGAAACTGAGATAACAAATGTTTATTATTGCTTTAAGTTTGTAATTTTTGGAGTAATATGTTGTATGACAATAGGTAACTACCTACTTATCAATCAGATAGGAAGCAGACACTGGTTTTAATGCTTTTAGTGCTGGTGGCTTCTCTGATATCCCAGGCATTAATCCTTTAGAATGGAGAGGATAGGTGATTCTGGGTTAATAGCTTTATCAATGAATACCAAGTACTTTGATAATTTATCAACTAGTACAGCCATGCCATGCCGGATTTATATCAGTTACACTTGCGTAGTTTCAAGGTACTGGGAAGCCTACCTAGTCCTCCAGTTAGCCCTTATTTCTCTCCTCAAGCACTTCCTATGACTGTTAACTACTTTCATATCACATGGGAATTTGAGGTTTCCTCCCTAGATATAGCTGTCCATCCTTCCCCCTGACCCCCATGCTCTTATCTCCTTAAGACTCAGATTGGGGGGCCTCCTGGTGGTGCAAGGGGTTAAGCACAGCCCTGTGAAACCATCCCCTGCCTTCGCAGCAGGAGTTGGATCCCCTGCCAGCTAGCATGCTACCCACTTAACTCAGCAGACCTTTCCTGTCTCACTCACTCCTCCCCTCAGCAGTGTATTTCAGTCAGTCTGCCAGTTCTGTTCTCCGCTCTGTCTCTGATGAATCTGTTCACTCTCCCATACATCTGGCCAGTACCCCAGAAGACTCTGGGCATAAGCCTTCTCACCCTGAGCACCACCAAACTCTGTTTTTATCCCCTTTAGTATCCTCTTTCTCTCTACCCCTTCTACTTTTATTCCCCAGCCTTGAGAAACAGCAGTATGTCAGTCTCAAGGGAAGTTCCTCCATGCTTTATTCCTAAGGCACTGTTTTACTTGTGATTTATCTAGAGGCATCTAACCTGATGAGTTTTGAAAACCAAAACCAGAGAGCTGAGGTTTCTGCCTATATCCTAATATTCTCTCCCTCTGAGATACTGAATCAAGGCCTGTGAGACAAGTTTCATTCTCAGAAAGTGATTAGGGAGATAGAGACAAACAGAAAGGGACATAATGAGTCAGAAAATATCATGTAGTACCCCAAAAATATTTCCCCACTACCCCATGTCTAGAAAAATTAATACCTCCTGCCGAAAGAACTGTTGTTTGGACTAGCACATGATTTCTCACCAAAATTTAGTAGGCTCTAATTATAGTCATTTGCTCTAATTTCATGATGATAAAGCAGCCCTTTGGTCTGCTTTTTCAAGTACCTGTATACTTTGAAGGAGATACTTTGCTCACAAGACCAAAATAGTCTTTCCATGTTTTTTTATTTCTTCCCTAGAAAAATCTTTGCCTTGCTTCCCCTCCCCAGGTGAGGGTTAAGAGCCTTGTCACATGCTCCAGTAATCCCTGAATTTCCCTCTCCCTAAAAACATATGTCCCATTCTATTATAATATATTCTTATTTGTATCTGTCACTAGAGTCTAACCTGTCTCAAATGTCATGTTCCCAATCTGTCCCCAGAGAATCAATAATTAATTATGGGAAGGCAGGGACTCCATTACATCAGTGTCCACTGATTTGGGGCTTTATGAATCAGTGAAATTTCAAGGAAAACAGTGGGCAGACCAATACGGTTGCCAACTTTTTTATTTTGCCAAGATGGTACATTAAAAGCAGCAACTACAATTAGCTTCACAACATTTCATCTTAAAATTGCTGTTTTAACACAAAGGATTTGTAAGAATTTTCTAAAGAACAGACCCTGAAAATGCATACATTTAAGTTTTTAACAGAGACCAATGACATTTCTACCTGAATTGGCACCACATATCAGACACACTTGAGAACCACTGTTAACTTCTTAAATCCCTTCTAACTCTCAGATGAGTTATAGCAATTCTAATTGGTAATTTACCTATTTTTAAAGTGGTGCATTACAGATTTTTTTTTAAAGAAGTCCCAAATTACTAAACTTTGTGTCCTATTCTTAATTTATATTTCTTTAAAAAAAAAGAAAAGAAAAAGGCATCACTGAATATGTTGGCATATGATTCTCAGCTGGGACTCATTATCCCCTTCAAGATTTTTTGCTCTTTCCCAGTAAGTCTCTAAAGGAGTAAACATATTAGAAAGTAAGAACTATCTTAATTTTACTTATTTTTAAAACATTTTGGGGAAGGGTTGATCCAGTCTGATCTAAGAAGAAAAATAAAATTATACATGAAGTATCTCATGACGCAAAACATTCTGGCAAATTTATTTTGGATATGGCTCGTGTCTCATAAATTCAGTAAAATTCATTTTAGTTAAATTTTACACTAAAGTAGAGTAAATATATCATTAGTATTTCATTTCACAAATCTCAAATTCTTGATCTCATTGACAAAATAATATATAAAGAATATTTTTATTAGAATTAGAGCAGAAGGCACTGTATCTCTACAAATATGTGTGATATCAACAAATGACAAAGACAAAGAAAACACAGAAGCAGTGTTTCTACTTTAAATTTCACTTATTTTAAGAACCCATGGGATAAATTACAGCAGCCTTTGGGAAAGCAGAGCCATTAAAATTAGAGATGGAAAAGATGAAATCAATGATGATGTAATCTGGACCTTTGATGACACAGGAGACACCCTTAAAATTCCTGCCTGCACGCTGTGTCTGTTGTAATGCTTCAAGCTACAAGAGATTTCTGAATCTGGCAAGTGCCTTCGCAAACTTACGCTTTTTTCCTTAATATTGTCTTTTTTTTTTTTTTAAAGATTTATTTATTTATGTGTACAAGAGCTAGGGTACAAGCCAGAGGCACGGGAGGTGAGAGGATTCACCAGAGACAGAGTGGGAAACAGAACAGGCAGATTGACTGAAATACACTGCTGAGGGTTACAACAGGCGAGACAGGAGAGGTCTGCTTAGCCATGTGTGTTGCTCCATTGCAGAGGCTGCGGATTGCTTCATAGTGAGGTGCTTAACCCCTTGCGCCACTAGGGAGGCCCCCCTCCTTAGTATTGTCTTATTTTATATTGTAATGTCCTTGCTGTCATTGGAAGGAAATAGAAAGAAGGCCTTAATACTTTATCATTAGCCCTTTTTTTTTTTTTTTACAAAAGTAATATTGAATGTAAAACCATCTTATTTCTGTTATAAAACAATCTTGCAGGTAAATTTTGCAGCTAAAAGTCTTTCCTCTATAAAATGGTTGATCAAACAGTATTCATATATAGAAATAAAAATTAGAAATCTGATGAATTATAGATCTTTATATACTGTAAGCTCTTAGAGAAGTGATTTTTAAATTTTTTTACATTTTTTTTTCCTCATTAGAATTATTTGGGAAAAACAGAGCTGAGTACATGTAAATCTATTTTGAAATATACAACATATAAAGTCAAACCTTTGGAAACTAATCTATTTTAATGTATTGCATGCCCCAGTTATAATACTACGTAACATATTAATTTAAAGAACAGTTAATTTAATAACCAGAAATCATACTTATGAGTATCATCATTAATCTAGCCCAATTCAATATGAATATAGGGCAAAAAGAGGTCAGATTGGACCTCCCTGGTGGCGCAGTGGTTGAGCGCTGGGTTGCGAAGCTGCCCGCAGCCTCTGCAGTGCCGGTTCAATCCCCATGGCGCTCTAGACCTCTCCTGCCGCCCGCTGCTCCCCTCAGCAGTGTATTTCGTCGGTCTGTCTGTTCTGTTCCCGACTCTGGCTCTGGTGAATTCTCTCACCCTCCCGCGCTTCTGACTGTACCCAGTGCTTGTATAAATAAATAAATAAATCTTTAAAAAAAAAAAAAAAGTCAGATTTGCACTATTTACTTAAAAACTGTAATTTAGGCTTACACGTTTTAGTTCCTCATTTCTTCTTTAAAAAATCTTTTTATGTTACATACTTTATCATTTTCACAATTACAGAAGAAATGGGCACTTGCCATTTCACGCTAACACAGAGACATTAAAATGTTGCTAACTAAAATTCCTTCCCCAGCTACTCTAGCCTAGAATTAATGTAAACCACTAATTTTCCCCATTCTGAAAATGCTAGGAAATGAAAAATGAAATAAATGAGGTTGATGTTGTTTAGAAGTGCTTAGAAGATAAATACTAAGTACTTTTTAATGCTCAGGAGTTAAATTTGGTTTATCATTTATAAAAATAACTGGCAGCATAGTATCATTGAGTAGATATTTTGTGTCAGCACAGGCAAGATTATCAATCTGCACACTAAGCACAACTAACTGAAAAACAAAAAGTTCAACCAGAGTACACTAGGCTGATTTTGAGTTTTTCTCTAATGTTTCAAATTATAGTCACCAAGAGAAGTTATATGAAGCTAACTTAAATAGGCATTTTTTATTGAAAAAGATAAAGTGTTTTACTTTGTATTATTCAATAAAACAGTGAAATATTTTTTTTTAATAAAGATTCTTGGTGATTCTTTTTTTTTTTTTTTTTAGATTTATTTATATGAGCACTGGGTACAGTCAGAAGTGCGGGAGGGTGAGAGAATTCACCAGTGCCAGAGTAGGGAGCAGAGCAGGCAGAAGGACCGAAGTACACTGCTGAGGGGAGCAGCGGGCGGCAGGAGAGATCTGCGCGCCATGTGGGACCCTCGCCCGGAGGCCAGAGATCGAACCGGCGCTGCGGAGGCTGCAGGCAGCTTCGCAACCCAGCGCTCAACCGCTGCGCCACCGGGGAGGCCCCGAAATATTTTTTTATATATAAACTCAAGTAGCTCAGCTTTTGAAATGTATCTTTGAATTACCAGTGGACAAACCTATGAGCAGAAGGTTGTTTTTGAAGGAATTGTCACTAAGATATAGACACCCAAATGAAATTGTAGGGATGCAAATACTGAATAAATATATAACACAAATTAAAGAATGCTATTTCTCACTGTTACTGACAAAAGGAAATCATTGAATTGATTATTTGATGCAATTGTAGCTAATGAACTGAAATACTGATATTCCTTGGTATCCTAAAATTTTGACTTGGTTTCTGGCTTTGCCAGTCATTAATATGATTTTGCATCAATCCATGACTATCTAATTTGATAGGAGATAATACCTCCCTCAGAGGGTTATTAAAAATAATTAAATGTGAAGGCAACTGAGAGTATAATACCTGACACATGAATAAAATAAATTTTAAATGGTTAAAAATAATCCCTGTAATTAAGTCATCATTTCATAGACAAGTTATATTTTCTTTTCCATTCATCATTCATCTCTAGTACAGGATGATCTAGCAAACTAATATTTCCTTGGTGACAGTTAAATAGAAACCTGATGTAGACTTGAAAATAATATCTTAGAAGAAGCAAAAGTAATTTGTTGTTACATTTTTACCCATGCTTTACTAATCTATCTACTTTAAGTTTTTAAAGTCTACAGGCAGTTTACTTCATCGGGGAAGCCCAAATGGTTTCTTAAGTTTATAAAATAAGCAACTACCTACTCTAAACAAACTTGACTATGAAAACTTGGAAAATAACCTGTTTCAGTCTCTTACCACACATAACCTAAAACTGAACCTCTTAAATCTATTTAAAAAATACTGTTGACAAACCATACTAACATAGTTTCTTTTTTTTCTCTTCACTTTGAAATTCCTCCTGAATGTACTTAGGGAAAAAATTGTTTTATCTTTCTCAGATTAAAAGAAAATGAAAGTAGTTATCAAGAAGTGGAGTTGTGGGACATTTTTATAAGTGCTAACATGATGTTAGCTCAAATACCTGTGTTTTAGAATCTAAATTTTTTTTACAGCCTATCAATCATCATTCTAACCCTGCTACTTATTGCTTACCTATAAAGGATATAAAATAGATGGTAAGGTAAAAGTTGGCTTCATATAGTTGGAAATATAAATGTAACTTTTATTCCTTTAAAAATAAACAAAGCAACAATGGCTTGAACAATAACATCTAGAAAACTTTTCCTGTAACACAGGGTTCTAGTCTCATACCACTAATAGCCATAATGGAAATATTGCATGTAACATCTTTTATTACCAGGGCAATTGGCCTAAAGTACTTGTCAACTGTGCAAATGTCTCTAGAAGGAAAAATAGGACTAAGACATTTCCTGTAACTCCCTTGACTTAGAATTCTATTTCATACATGTGTAAAAAAAATTATTCAAGAATGAGAAGAGAGACATGTATTCACCTCTACTTATCTAGAAGCTAAAATGTTGGTATCCTGCAGAGTGGAAGGTGGGGAGAAAAGAGGGAATGAATTATCTGGTATTGAGTGTGGGGGATTAGATGAAATCTGGGAAGCTAGCCAATTTCATCCACTCTATTTTCAGCATTGCACTTCTGTACCAATTCCACCAGTGCCTTGTGCTTCTTCTATAACCTAAATTTCTCCAGGTTTCTGCAGGGAAAATTAAATTACAAATAAAAAAGGAAGAAGAAAAATACACAAATCATGTTCCCATGGATAGTTTTCTATATAGGCACACTGGTTTTAACTTCCCGTATTAGACACCGATCTATCTCCTTTCTTTAAAAATATATATATATATTTATTTGTTTGTTTATGCAAAGAAGAACTGGGATGTAGGCCAGAGGTACAGGGAATGAGAGGATTCACCAGAGAGAGAGTGGGGAGCAGAACAGGCAGATTTATGGAAATATACTACTAAGAGGAGCAGGGGATGAGATAGAAGAGGTCTGCTACACCATATGTGCACTAGCTACCTGGCCTAGCATTGACCTTAGGCTGTAGAGGGCATAGCACTGAGACTTAATCCCTATGCCACCAGGGAGTCCCCTCTATCTGCTTTCTAGCTCCCCAAAAATTCAATATAAATCTCTCATCTTTTTCTCTCTTCATTTTTTTAAATTTTTTTACTTACTTTTGGGGGGCTTCAGGAGAATGAGGAAATGCAGGCACATTTACCAGAAATCTTATCATCACTTCGCAAAGTACAAATTCAGATTTCTTTCTAAAAGATGCTCTGCTCATTGTTCTTGTCAGATCCTGAGTTTATACCCAGGGTATAATACTATAGAAATTTCATCATGAGAAATTACTAATCAAAACACTTGGTATTGGAATAAAAATAGACACATAGACCAATGAAATAGAGTTGAGAGCCCAGAAATAAATTCACACTTATATGGGTAAATTACAGGAAAAGGATACAAGAGTATACAATGGAGCTTCCCAGGTTGCATAGGCGTTAAGTCTCAGCATTATCACCACTAGAGCCTGAGTTCGATCCCAGGTCAGGGAGCTGACCCACATAAGACACAGCAGACCTCTCTCTTCTGTCTCACTGGCTACTCCCCTTAGCAGTGTATTTCAATAGATCCGCCTGTGTCTCTGGTAAAACCTCTCGCACAAACCCCTAACCTCTGGCCTACACCTCATTTCATCTATGAAGAAAGAAAGAAAGAAAGAAAGAAAGAAAGAAAGAAAGAAAGAAAGAAAGAAAGAGAGAGAGAGAGAGAGAGAGGGAGGAGGGAGGGAGGGAGGGAGGAGGGAGGGAGAGGAAGGAAGGAAGGAAGAAGGAAGGAAGAAGGAAGGAAGGAAGGAAGGAAGGAAGGAAGGAAGGAATCTTTAAAAACAGCAAAGAGTATACAATGGAGGAAGGAAATTTTCTTTAACAAATGGTGTTAAGAAAAAAGGACAATCATATGTAAAAGAATGAAACTAGACCACTATTTCACATGGTACAGGGGAATTAACTTAAAATGCATTAAATAATTAGATGTAAGACCCGAAACCATAAAATACATAGAAGAAAATATAGACAAATAGTCCATGACATTGGCTTCAGTCATGTATTTGGGGACTTGACTCCTATGGTAAGGAAACAAAAGCAAAAATAAAGAAATGGAACTACATCAAACTGAAAAGCTCCTGCTCATTAAAACAAAGAGACTTATACAGGGCCTCCCCTGGTGGCGCAGCGGTTGAGCGCTGGGTTGCGAAGCTGCCCGCAGCCTCTGCAGCGCCGGTTCCATCCCCGGCTGCTCCCCAGCCACCGGAGGAGGGTCCCACATGGCGCGCAGACCTCTCCTGCCGCCCGTACTTCGGCCCTTCTGCCTGCTCTGCTCCCCGCTCTGGCTCTGGTGAATTCTCTCACCCTCCCGCGCTTCTGACTGTACCCAGTGCTTGTATAAATAAATAATAAATAAATAAATAAATAAATAAATAAATAATTAAATAAATCTTTAAAAAAAAAAAAAAAGAGACTTATACAAAGAAAACTATAAAACATCGTTAAAAGAAATAGAAGACACAAAGAAATGGAAAGACATCCCCTGCTCTCTGATTGGAAGAATTAACATTATCAAAATGGCAAAACAAAAAGTCAGATAAAGCAAAACCAATAAAAAAAAGTCTAGAAATCCAACTGTAGAACTGAGGCTACCAGATGGGGATGGAAAGGGAGAAAGAAAAAGGGTGTAGGCAGCAAAATAGACTATGCTGAGGGACTTTTCTGTGCCTTGGTGGCATGTGTGCTTTGATAACATACATCTGAAGGGTATGATCCTCTATCTCTAAATCATATACAGTGTTGTGAACCATTGACCTAAATAAAAATTTTATTTAAAAAGTAGGCAGAAATTCTATGGGGACTCAATCTGAGGGAGTGGGGGGAAGTAAATATTGTCTAAAAAATGTAAAAAAATTGGGCCTCCCCAGTGGCGCAGCGGTTGAGCACTGGGCTGCAAAGCTGCCCACAGCCTCCGCAGAGCCAGTTCAATCCCCAGCCACTGGCGAGGATCCCACATAGTGCGCAGACCTCTCCTGCCACCCACTACTCTCCTCAGCAGTGTTCTTCGGTCCATCTGCCTGTTCTGTTCCCCACTCTGGCTCTGGTGAATTCTCTCACCCTCCCGCGCTTCTGACTGTACCCAGTGCTTGTATAAACAAAAATAAAATTAAAAAAAAAAAGAAACCATTTTAAAAAAAAGTAAAAAAATTGATAAATATAAAAATTAAAAAAAAATTTTAAAGAAAAGTGGGCAGAAACCTAAATAAATACTTCTCTAAAGATAATATACAGATGGCCAACAGGCACATGATAAAATGCTCATCACCACTTATCATCAGAGATATGCAAACTAAATACAATTAGATACTATCTCAAACTTGTAAGAATGGCCCATATCAAAATGTCCAGGAACAGCCAATGTTGGTATGGATGTGGAAAAAAGAACCCTCAAGTACTGTTAGTGGGAATGTAGACTAGCCCAGTACTATGGAAAACAGTATGAAGGTTTCTCAAAATATTAAAAGTAAATCTACCATATGATCCAGCAATTACACTCCTAGGTATCTACCCAAAGAATGCAAAAACATTCATTGGAAGGGATATATGCACTCCTGTGTTCATTGCAGCACTATTTACAATAACTATATTATGAAAGCAGCCTAAGTGCTCAAGGGCAGATGAGTGAATTAAGAAGATATGTTGTAGATACTCATGACTCAAATCTTAAAAGGGATGAACCTTGCCATTTGTGACAATATGGATGGAACTGC